TTCACCGTTCCATGGAACACTGTCCTGCCCAGGGTTGAGTCCCACCTGTACCCTGAGCTGCCAGGATAATCTTCAGCCACCTGCGACCCTGAACTAGAAGAAGTGAGCTAGAAAATGAAAGAATGGCCCAACATTTCTATAAGAGTGTTTGTTTTGGGTCTGTCTTTAGAAGTCTAGTGATTATGTTCTATGAACTTAAGTCTTTTTTATATTAATTACCTTGTGGTCAAGTTGGTTTCATTCTGCATGGTTTTGCTTAAAGTCATAGTCCAAGAACCTGTCCACAGGGGACTCGGGACTGAGGACTTATTGAATATCCTTTGAATTGTTTGCCCTCTCATGAAAAGTACATACAGAAAGGTTGAAAACATGGTTAAGGTGTTTGTCTACACTAACCAAAATTTAGAAGGGAAACCCTCCAAGTACCCCCATCAAGAGAATTGTCCATGGCAATTGGCATTTCAGTGAGATTGTTGACAAAAGCCAATGAAAAGGTAAAGCAAGCACAGTGGTTCAGTAAGCTACCTTAGGTGTGAGAGAAGGGGGGAAAATGAATTGCATATTTATTTGCCCATTTTCACAAAAATAAACACTGAAAAGATAAGTCAAAAATGGTAAAAATTATCTCTGGGAATTGGTGGAGATAGGGGAAAGAGAGATCAGGAATGGAGAAGAAACATCTATTTTTTTATGGGTTGGCATTTAAACTCTGTAAATATTTATTGTTTTTAAATATACCAAAAATGAGGGAAGAAAGCACCAAACTGAAAACAAATAGATGTGGCTAGAGATCTAATTGATAACATAACTTCCAAGTTACTGTCACCCAACTTCCCAGCCTTAGTGGCATGTACTTTAGGAATAAACAAAATCTGCAGAGGGCCTCCCTGGTGGTTCAAGGGGTTAAAGCACCACACTATGAAGCAATCCGCAGCCTCAGCAGCATGAGTTCCATCCCCCGTCAGCCAAGGAGCAATCCACATGGTGAGGCAGACATCTCCTGTCTCATCCGCTGCTCCCCTCAGCAGTGTATTTCAGTCAGTCTGCCTGTTCTCTTCTCATTGTCTCTGGTGAATCCTCTCACCCCCCGCATCTCTGGCCTGCACCCCAGCTCTTGTGTACATAAATAAATCTTAAAAAAAAAAAAACTTAAAAAAAAAATCTGCAGAGAAATCCTAACCTTAATCGTCTAGTGTGATGGTTAGAGTAACAGGAATAGAATTTCTGTGTATTGATGGATGAGACAAATAAGTAAATGTATTACTGCTGACAGGAACAAAAGAAAAAGGGATATATAGTTAAATTTAAAAAAAAAACTGCATAATTTTCAATTTTCAATTAAAAATCAGGATATATTGTCCAGTATTTTACTGGGCCCAAGAGCAAAACTACTTTTATTCCCCGCTAAAATACATACTTTTAGAAAAGTTTCTTCCATGGCAGAGTACTATAAACATATTCCAAGCCTCACTTGTTGCTGTTTTTACTAAATAAATGACTGGCAGCACATTTTGTGTCAGTACCCTTTGACCCATCTCAATTCTTTCTAACTTGAAAGGATGGACAGTATTGTGTTTGAGTCACCATCTTGCTGACATTTCTTTTTTTTTTTAAGGATTTATTTATTTAAGCATACAAGAGCTGGGGTACAGGCCAGAGATGGGGGTGGGGAGGTGAGAGGTTTCACCAGAGACAGAGTGGGGAACGGAACAAGTAGACCGACCAAAGTACTCTGCTGAGGGGAGCAGCGGGCGATTCAGGAGAGGTCTGCTGCGCCATGTGGGTTGCTCCCTGGCCAGCCGGGGATCAAACTCGTGCTGCAGAGGCCACAGATTGCTTCATAGTGTGGTGCTCAACCCCTTGTGCCACCAGAGAGGCCCCATTCACTGACATTTCAGTCAGAGTATGTGCATTTTTTAAAGTTAAATTTCTTTTTTTTTTTTTTTTTTGTTTTTTATATATCCAGAAGAAAAGAAGAGAGAAGTTGCACAGACACAAGAGGGCAGAAAGAGCTGTTCATTTAGTTTTTAGAATCACATCTAGAGTACAAATTTTTTTTTTATTAATTTTTTTATTTTTGCATAGGACTGGGGCCAGAGAATTCACCAGAGATAGAGTGGGGAGCAAAACAGGCAGATCCACCAAAATACACTGCTGAGGGGAGCAGTGGGTGCGACAGGAGAGGTCTGCTGTACCATGTGGGTTGGCTCCCTGGCCGGGGATTGAACTCGTGCTGCAGTGGCTGCTGACAGCCTGATAGCCTGACAGCACTGAGACTTCAACCCCTGTGCCACCAGGGAGACCCCCTAGAGTGTAAATGTTTTGTGGGTTTTTTTTTTTTAAAGCTTTATTTATTTACTTATTTATACAAGCACTGGGTATAGTCGGAAGCGCGGGAGGGTGAGAGAATTCACCAGAGCCAGAGCGGAGAGCAGAACAGGCAGACTGATGAAATACAATGCTGAGGGGAGCAGTGGGCGCGGCAGGAGAGGTCTGCGCGCCATGTGTGAACCTCACCGGTGGCCAGGGATCGAACCGGCCCTGCAGAGGCTGCAGGCAGCTTCGCAGCCCAGTGCTCAACTGCTGCACCACCGGAGAGGCCCTAGAGTATCAATGTTAAAAGATACACAAGGGTTTTCCTTTTCTCCCTGCCTGTTCCCCAGAGGGAAATTTGATTCTTGTGTCTCCTGGAATACTCTGTGCATGTGAAATTACTTTCCTTTTTTAATTTCACAAGCACAAGCATTTACTATGTGCTGGACACTGTTCCAACCTTTCTAGAACCATATGAAATTATTTATTCTCACTTTGCAACTGGAGATACTGAAGCACACAGTTATAGGGACATGACCAAGGCCACGTGATGTGTGGCAGAGCTGGACTTTAAGGCAGGGGGCAAACTCCAGGGTTCCTTCCCTGGGAGCATCATAACTGGGGGCAGCTGTTATGAACTTAACAGAAGGAGATGGGCTTGGATGACAGGCGAGCCAAAAGGGGCCCTGAATTTGTTGGATCACCCTTCACTGCTTCTTTCTCCCAGCTCCACTGTAGGGGCTGGGCCAAAAACCTTCATCCCTGCTCTTCCCACAGATGCCTTCATCCAAAGACTCAACAGGTGCCTTGGACCCCACCAAGCCACACATCCTGGGTAAGGCCCTACACATGAGGCAACAGGTTTCTCACTGGACCTACTGGGTGGGTTCCCTGGGCCTTTGGAGAGTCCCTCAGCCAGGTCCCATCACACCCCTGACATGCATGTCTCCATACCAGGAATCCAGAGTCCTGATCAGCAGGCAGCTCTGGCCTGTCATGACCCAGCCCGGCCCATCTTCGTGGAGGGCCCCTTCACCTTGTGGCTTCGGGACAAATGCATCTATTACCACATACTCAGAGCTGACTTGCTTCCCCCGGAGGAGAGGGTAAGGGCCCAAATTACTAGTGGAGGGTTGGGAGGGGGGCTCACATTGCCAGAGGTCTCATGTGAGAGCTCAGAGGTACAGGATGGGGGAAGAAGTAGCTTCTGGTGGGATGGGTTCATCAGGTGACTGCAAGACCTTAGGCCTCTGACCCTACCTGCAACCTTCCTCCTTGAGGCAGAAAGTGGAAGAGATTCCTGAGGAATGGAACCTCTACTACCCAATGCAGCTGGACTTGGACTATGAGCGGAGCGGCTGGGATGATTACGAGTTTGACACTGATGAAGGTAAAGCTGGGATAGGCAGGACTCCAAACACTGCACAGGACGATATGAGGCCTCAGGCTGAGACTTCGCTCAGCTACCATACACATACCCAGCAGAAGTCCAAGTGTAGACACACACACATAAACACACACCCCTCCTCATGTGTCCTCTAAGGACTCCAAGCCTGTCATTTCCTCCATCACACATTTATGGAGCACCTCTGTGCTGGCTTCTGGGTGTGGCCAGTATAGACCAGTCCCTGCCCTTAGGCAGCTCCAGCCAATTTGGGGGAGGAGGGATCAAGTAAGTTACATTATTGGGGTCCCAGGGGAAGAACACACAACAGAGCTTCAGTTAGGGAGTAGGGAAGACTTCCTGGTAGAATTTTGAAGGACCAGGAAGCATCATCTAGGTGAAGAGTGCAGTGCACAGTCCAGGCAGAGGGGATAATTTGTGTAAAGGCTTACACACACAGGAGACCCAAAGGGAGCCTCAAGAGGTGTGGACATTGGTGGGGGGGGGGTCGGAGTTGCTCCAGCACCCAATGCACAAACTTTGAGGGTGCATCTCTCTCAACAGTGGAAGAAGGCCCTGTCTTTGCCATATGCATAGCGGGTGCCCATGACCAGGCCACACTGGCCAAGTGGATCCAGGGCCTGCAAGAGACTAATCCAGCCCTGGCCCAGATCCCGGTAGTCTTCCGCCTGGGAGGGTCCATAGGAGAGCTCCTGGCGCCCTCCCCAGGGCTAGAGGAGCCACCCCTGTCACCTCCTGAAGGCCAGAAAGAAGAGGAAGACAGCGACGGAGGCAGGGCCAGAGCGGAGTCTGAGTGGTCTAAGGGACAGAGGCTGTGAACTAGTGTGAAAGCATGAGATGACCTTTGGATGTACAGCAAATAAAGGCTTTCCCGCTTGGGGCTGTTTTCCCTCCTCTCTGACAGTGTGGTAACCTGTTGTCACATCTTTCCAAGGGACCTTCACGTGTCCGGCACTGACAGGTCAGACCCTGGCCTTTCTTCTGCCTTCAACTGACAGCTCCCATCCTTCCTTGTCAATCCCAGCAGGCCTTCAGGATAAAGGCGCCGAGGTGGGCCGCGCCCCCTCCCCCCGGGTTATTCTGCTATTTCTTTACCGGGTCTTGCCTCGATCTTTCAGCTCCTCCCTCCGTCTCTGCGAAGTTAGAAACAAAAGGAAAAGAGTTGGTTGTTGCACAAGCTTGTTGCGCGCATGCGCCATTTTCCCCACCGGTTCACTTTTTTTGGCGCCGCAGGGCAGTGAGAGTCCACGAAAAATCTCTCTGCGGCGCGGAAGATGCGCGCCACTTCCGGTCGGGCTCCTAACAACGGGGGAGGCTGGTAACCAGGGAGGGGGGGATGGCGGAGCGGGCGCCGGAGCCTGAGGCGGAGGCGGAGGCGGGCGCAGGCGGGGAGGCGGCGGCTGAGGAGGGCGCGGCGGGCCGCAAGGCGCGGGGCCGACCGCGGCTCACAGAGTCGGACCGGGCCCGGCGGCGCCTCGAGTCCCGGAAGAAGTACGACGTGCGGCGCGTGTACCTGGGTGAGGCGCACGGGCCCTGGGTGGATTTGCGGCGCCGCAGCGGCTGGAGCGACGCCAAACTCGCTGCCTACCTCATCTCGCTGGAGCGCGGCCAGCGTAGCGGCCGCCACGGGTGAGGGGGCCCAGCCTGTGGGAGGGAAGGAGCAAGGGAGGAGACGCCCCCATCCCCCGCTGGGCCTGGTTCCGCCCCCGAGGCCTCAGGCCCCGCCCACGGCACCTGCGAGCCACGCCCACTGCCCGGGCTGCCGCCCTGGGTCTCTGACTGCAGTTCTGGGACCTGCCTAGCTCTCGGCCCCGCCTCCCGTCGCTCCGACTGCCCAATCCTAACATGCACCCAGCCTCTCGGCCCGCCTCTCGAGCTCCTGGCCCTGCCCGCTAGAGCTCCGGCTACCCAATCCTGTTACGGGCCCCATCTCCAACCGTTGTAACTGCCCAATGCCTGGACGGCCCGCCACGCCTCCTGAGGCCTCCGCTGAGATTGCGCCCCCGCTGGCCCCTAGGATCTCAAAGGCCCCATCTTTTGAAACCCCTCATTGTCACCTGGAACTGACTGGATACATTTGGAACACCCAGCCCTATCCCTCTTGAGGTTACGGTGCCCAACCTGGGATTGTGCGTAGTCCCATTCCCACAACCTAGGCCCCTCATACTCCGAGGACCCCTCACAATCCAAGCCGCATTCCCTTAAACCTCTTGGGGAGCACTCAACCGAGGGAGCCTTCGCAGAGTCTGGATCTTGCAAATGAGCAGTGTGAATGGTTGATGTGATTATTAAATGAATTAAATGGCAGGAAGGGCTTAATACAGTCTCTGGTATATAGTGAGCACTCGGTATTAGCTGTTGTGATGATGTTTGTTTTCTTTCACAAGCAGTGCTGTGACAGAATCCTTGCTCTGCCCTGGCTTTTACTTGCACACATATGCATGTTTCTCTGGAGGACATGTCAGGAATCAACCCAACCCTGCTGAATTGTACCTATCCTCTCCCCAGAGTTGCAGGCCAGTTTATATTCTTAAGAGCATGGCAGGGAATACTGGATGCTAAAAAAACCTTGAAGTCAATCTCCCATTATTAGTTTCTGATTCAGTTAGATTGAGTGGTTTTGCAGACACTGTATTTTTTTTTCTGCAACGCTCACAGGGAGATTTGATGTGGAGTTGAGAACCATTGACCAGAGGGAGCCCTGGAGGTTCCTAAGCCGAAAGTGGCATTTGTGCAAGTTTGCTTTGACTGAGCTGGAGTTCTGTGTGCCTGTTGGATTAGGGCAGGGAAACTAAGACAACTCAGACAGGCAAAAACCTTGCCCCAGGACACATGGCTAGTCAAGAAAATGCACTAACCTGAGTGAGGAGTCTCCTGTGAGAAGTGGGCATGAACAGAGAGATAGGGGCTCAATTACTTCATTTGTCCAGTTATTTATAACCTGTTTTCTACCTGGATGGATTTCAGTTCAAGAACTGTATAAAATCGAAAGAAAAAATAAAAAAAAAACAGCACTCATAGTGGACCAGGGTCAATGCTGCTGGATTGAAGCAGAAGTCACAGGGAACAAGAGCAGTTTTGTGGTCTGGGGAAGTAAAAACATGACCAGAACAGTTCAAGAGACCTGGAATGGAAAATGGATTGTAAATTTGCCTCAGAGCTCCCAAGCATCCAGTGAGAAAGGGATATAAATGGTTAATAATGGAATTTCCAGTGTCCTTTCATTCTGTCAAAAAGCAGATCCTGCTTACTGAAAAAGCAAAACAGAAAGATGAGTTTATTGCAACGATATCAGCTTGCAAGCTGGGAAACTCAAACTATGGGAGTTCCTGTTTGCTCAGACTACAAGATTATTGTGAGATAAATATGGGTTATTTTGGTCATTTAGCTGATTTGGTTGCCTGGAGGTCTGTTTTCCTCTTTGGGTCCGGGTAGCTGAGTGAGGGGAATAAGTAAACCCAGAAATGGCATGAACAGACTTGACATTTAGGGACTGGCTGGCATCCTCTGCTGATCTCTGAGAAGAGTTGTAGGTACCTGTTAGATGAGGTAAAGTTTCATTCTTCTTTATGTGTCTGCATTGGCCATCTTAATTTTGTCCCTGAAATAGATGAATGCATTTTAGTTTGGCTCTACAGTTCATTTGTTTGGGAATGTTTATTGAGTACCTACTGTGAGCCAGACACTGCTATAGATGCTGAGGGTATGACCATGAATGAAACAAAACTTACTATCTCGTGGAGCTGACCTTTTAAGAGGACAGAAGGGAATCACTTATATAAGGGCTCATCTACTACAGACAAGAAACATAATAAATTAGTTACGTAGTGTTTGAGAGAATGAGAGGGACTTTGAAACAGGAAAAGAAGAATCAGGAGTCTGTCATTTAAATAGGGTGGCAGGGTGGGCCACAGTGAGAACAGAGCATTTGAGTAAAGACCTGAAGGGAGGCCAGGGTGAGCCATACAGACATCTGGAGAGAAGTGTGTAAGGAATGAGGTGCAAAGGCCTGAGGCAGAACCCTTCCTGTGTACATAGCACAGCAAGAAGGCTGTGCAGCTGGAACACAATTAGTGAGGAAGAGGAATAGGAGAAGAAAAGGATAACTAGGTGACAGGTCAGGCATATGAGAGATACCCCGGGTTTGGGCCTGAACATCTAGAAAGCTGTAATTGCTGTCAACTGAGAAGGGCCAGATTGGGAAGCAAGATGACAGCTTGCATGTGAGTTGTTTATGAGACCCTATGTGGGATGACAGGGAGGAGGGGGGGCAATAGGAAGAGGTCCAGCTGGGAGGTCTGAATGTGGGGATCACAGGGCACTGATGACAGGTGATCAAGAGGGCCAAGGGGATATGGTTAGGTGGAGTGTATAGGTCAGAGGCAGTTGGGGAGACAAAGGAGAAGCAGGTAAAGGTGGCATCCTGGAGGCTGGGGGAAGACTATAGGGGTCCATTATGGCAAAGCAGAGCAAGGCGGCCATACAGGGCAGTTTGTGGAATAGTGGAGAAAAACCCTGACTGGAGAGTAGCTCTAGGGAGCCCGAAAAGAGGTCATGGAGCGCAAGATTGTAGACAATTTAGGCAAAAAAAATGGGGTAAAAGTGGGAAGGGAATGAGTTCAGGGTCATCTTAATCCAAGATGGAAGAAATAATAGTGAGTTTAAATGCTGGGAAGCATGATCGAGTGCAAAGCACAGTAGAGAGTGAGGGAGAGTTGTTGGGGCACCATTTCAGGGGTGGGCACTAAAAAGAAAGTGAAGTCAGGTTCTGGATAAGCTCCTGCAACTGTCCAAAAACACTGGTGGCTACTGTGAGGCGTCCTGGAGGAGGGAAGCAGTTTAAGGGAGAAAGGACTGCATGAGATTCAGAACATCAGCAGGTAACATGACCTTGTTTAATCCCCACAGTGACTGGAAGGCACTGCTTTTATTCCCACTTCATAGCTGAAGAAACTGAGGTTTACAGGGGATCAGACCTGCTTGAAGTCACAGCCAGTTGATAGCACAGATGAGATTTTAACTGCTGACATTCCAAACAGGTCAGCCATGGCAAGGCCATGAGTAGGTGGACTTGGCCACGGGCATTTTGACTTGCTTGGGGTGAGCCTCTGGGAAGGGTAGGGCCATGGAAGGGGATAGGTGAGGGGCAGTGGCACCCTGGACAGAGTCTGAGGCAGGAGGGACTGAGGATCCCCAAGGAGCTGTCCTGGGACCAGACTTGTGGTGTGGTTGCTGAGAGTTGTTATCAGATCAGGTAGGGGTCAGATGGGGTGGATGGTGTTACTGAAAGTAACCCGGATTTGCTGTCGGGATATTTGTGGCAAGAAGGTGTTTGTTCCCAGTCAACCCAGTGAGGAAGTGTTCAAAGCCTAGGGCCCATATAGCTTTGATAATCACAGCAACAATCACTATCACTTGCCGAGTGATTTCTAAGTGCCGATGGCTGCACCAAGCTCCCTGCAATGCACATAATTTCATGCCAACCCAATGTGGAAGGCACTATTATGATCCCATGCTGCAGATGGGGAAATTGAGGCACAGGAAGGCAGGGACACTATCCCAGGAGAAGAGGAAGAGCTCTGGGAAGAGCTTGCTACTATGACATAGAAGAGGAGGGACAGAGAAGCAGTCAGAATGGGGTGGGCAGATCAAGAAGCATGGTGACAAAACGTGCCTGAATACTACACGTTTCTGTGGGTCCGGAGTTTGGCACACTGTACCTTGGTTCTCCACGGAGGGTCTGATGAGGTGAGTCAAGGTATCAGCCAGCTGCATTTTTTTCTGAACTGGGGAAGGTCTGCTTCCAGACCTCCTTGAAGTGTTGGCAGAATCTGTTTCCCTGTTGCTGTGGGACCAGGTGCCACTATCATGTCCTGACCTCAGCATAGGCCCTCTGGTTTCTGACTTCAGCAGGGACCAAGCTCAGTGACAGAGTCCCTTGATTAGGCCAGGCCTATGTCAGCAATTCCCTCTTGATTAAATATTAGTCACCTAGTCACAGAGGTATACCATCTTAGTCACAGATGTGCCCTACTCATGGAGGAAGGGTTTACAGGGTGTGTGCCCCTAACGGTGGGAATCTCAGGATTCTCTATATTACACTGACTTTCCAGATCCCTCCTCTGACCTCTCCACTCTCTGGCCATGGGTGACCTCACCCCTCTTAGCCTCAGTCTTCCCCTGTGGGAGGTGGGTGATAATACTACAAGGGCTGGTTTCAGTGGAGGAGAGAACCCAAGTAAAGTGCTGGAAATAGAAGGAAATAGTCCAGGAAATAGAAGCTAAAACAGCCCAGGAGCAGGGGGAGCAATAGGTGGAGCTGCTGCATTATCTCATTATTCCTCACTGCCTCTCTGTTACAGGAAGCCTTGGGAGCAAGTCCCCAAAAAGCCAAAGCGGAAGAAAAGTAAGTGGAACTGCAGCCAGGGGAAGGGGAGGGGCTTCTGTCAGAGTAAGTGACTCTGACGTTTGTTCCCTGGATTGCTGGTTATCACAGGGATCATTTGTATGGGATGCTGTGTGAGACGAGACAGGCCCAGCCCTCCTTGTGGATAGACAGGACACATAGGAGAAGGCACATGGTGGGGAAAGTTGGTGGGATAAACCTGTGTCCTGTGGGGTGCTCTCATCATCCCCTCTCACACAGAAAGATACTAGGCCCAGGGTTGCCTCCCTTCCCCAGGCTTCACAGCTGGAAGGTGAAAGGGCCAGTTCCAGTGGTTTACATTCCTGTCTGGAGCATGGAAGTCAGAAGAGGCAACCGGACATTTCAGGTGCCAGGCTAGAGGGGAGCTGATCTGGCAGTCACAGTAGAGACCTGGAGCACCTCCCTCCTGCCTATTTCACTCAGGCCATGACCTCTGAGCTCTAGAACTGTGCTCTTGACTGTGCTCTTCAGTGTTCCCTTTCTCACAGTTCTTAGAGGCATGAACCAAGCTAACTCTGTGATCCCCAAATCCCAGAGGGACAGAGAGTGAGATAAGAAGGCTGAAGAGGTGGCTGCTGGTGTTTCTGTTGTGCCATGGTCATCACTAGATTGGAAATCCTGGGCACCTAGGCCTGAGGACCATTCCTGGGCCCCTTCCCACCCCTCAGCCTAGAAGATCAGGGGCACACTTTCCTCCCACTCAGCCACAGGACCAGGGTCTTCATGCATTTCACAGATGTCATTTTGGTATAGTGTCTCCAGCCCCATTCTGTGCCTCCAGTGTATTCATTCCCTCTTTTCTACCTGGCAGCTCTCAGAGAATAAGGATCTTTCTTCTACCTTAACCGTAAGGGGCAGGTAAAGTTCAGAGAAACCAAGTCACTTGTCTGGAACCACCCAGCTAGGAAGTGGCAGATCTAGGATTTGAACCCAGGCTGTCTGACTTCACCTGACAACATTCGCTCATCTAGCAAACATTCACTGAGCACCTACTCTGTTCCAGGCCCTGGGTAGCACCAGGGATATAGGGGCAGCCCAGATAAACATTCCTGCCATTCTAGTGGGGAGACAGACAAGAAACATGGAAACAAATACCACAGACAGTATCTAGATGCCACCTGGGGAAAACAGATAGCAAGTCATATCAGCTAGAGTGACTGAGGGAAGCAGGTGGTGGCTGACTACAGGAAAGACAAGTGAAGGGAAGACTGGAGTGGCTGTGTAAAGGCCCAGAGACAAGACCAACAGGAAGAAACCAAGTGGCTGAAGTGGACTGATTAAGGGGAAGAACAGAGGTGAAGGTGACAGGTGATCTGGCAGAACACAGGGGCCTTATGGACCCACAAGTTCTCAGGGAGAACTTAGGCTTTTACCTTCAGTGAGGTGGGAGCCTTGGTAGATTCTGAACAGAGATGTAACCAAACTCAGGTGTGTACAGGTGCCCTCTGTCAGCCCTGAGGGGATAGATTGTAGGAAGCATAAACTATGGGGGACAAAGGAGGCTAGCAGGGACACTAGGGCCAAGGGACTGAGCTGGTTCAGGCCAGAGATGTTGAAGAGGATGATTTGAATAATAAGCAGCCAACAACTATTATACACCTACTGTGTTCCCGGGTTTGACCTAACTCTGCCAGCCAGCGAGGCATCTCTATCTGTAGGGTGCATCTCACCAATCTGAGTCTCAGTTGCTTCCCCTGGACAGAACTCAGGCGAGTGCCTCAAGCTCCAGGAGCCATAAGGCCAGGATGGCTGCCCTGGGGACCAAACACTGCCCAACACACTTGCCTGACCTGTGTGCAGGGCGGCGGCGCAACGTGAACTGCCTGAAGAATGTGGTGATCTGGTATGAGGACCATAAGCACCGCTGCCCCTATGAGCCACACCTTGCTGAGCTGGACCCCACCTTTGGCCTATACACCACAGCAGTGTGGCAGTGCGAGGCTGGTCACCGCTATTTCCAAGATCTGCATTCACCATTGAAGCCACTCAGCGACTCAGACCCAGACAGTGACAAAGGTGAGTCCTCTGGGTGAGGGCACACAGGGGCCTCGGGTGTCAGATGAGTTGGCCTGGGCTCCCTGCCTCCTGGACCTTACCAATCTTAGACCAGTATTGCAAACATCACAGTGACTAGAATGGCATGGGCACTGGCTTCAGGCCAGAAATGGAGGCCGTTGCATTTTATGGAGGGACAGGTGAAGCACTGAGTGATTTGCCCATCTTGACAAAGCCAGTGACAGGCTGAGTTGGGCTAAGGTCTGGAAACCTGGCTCAGCAGGTTTGCATCCTCCATTCTTGGTTCTGGGTCTTTCTCTCCCATTCCATTCTCTCTTCCTCTGTCTCTCCTAGCTTTCTTTGCTCTTTCCTTCTGGTTCTCCTTTCTCCCATTCTCTGCTCTTGAGCTCTGTCACGACCCCTCCCTATCTCATTTGTTTTCTGTGTTTCTTCCTCTCTGTCCCTCTCTCTTCTGTCTCCTCCCTCTACCCTGCCTCCCCCTCTATCTCCTAGTCCCCCTTCAATTGTTCCTTTTCCATCTCCCTCTCTTTCCTTATCTTCCCTTTCCCCTGCGTCATCCTGCCCTCCCCATCTCTCACTGTGCCTGCCCCTCTCTTCCTATACCATGTTGGTCACACACATAGGCTGGCTGCCTGCTGAGCACTGGAAGGGAATCAGTTACTAAGGCCCAGTTGGCCCTGCTGGGGTAGCAGAAGTGACACTGTAGGTGGTGAGGGGCTGCCTGCCCACCTCAGACACTTGGCATCAGCCTGGAAAAAAAAGTGTGGGGCATGCTGCCAGGTGTCCTGCCAGGGCTGAGGGTGGGGTCACTCACAGGGGCTGAAACTGAGTTGGCAGGCATCTTGAAGCAGGTGGCATCCCAGCTGGCCTAGGGGAAGCCGTGGGTGAGAAGTGTTCCGGGTAGGCACCCTGGCCAAAGGGCAACCCATGATGAGTCACCAGGCTCCCAGCCATCCTGCCCTGTGCCCCAGTCCACGTGCCACCATATACTAGAACCTAATACCCTGGAAGTAACATGACTGATTCTTCTGGCGATGCATCAGTCTGGATGGGGGTAGCACCCAGAGGAGCCCCCCTTACACCCCAAAGCAACTTTGACAATAATGGCTGCTGGACCTGGGCTCTCTGTGATGAGCACTGGAATCAGTTAGCCCAGTCTGTTGTGAGCACTGGGGGCCTGGGAGGGAGTGACTTGTCCTTATCCTTGCCCTCTTCCCAGGCAGCACCCTTACCAATTCTTTTCCTGGAGCAGCACTGCTGCCTTTCACAGTGATGCACCTCCTGCAGGGACTCTGGGTGTACAGCTTTTGTTGTTAGCATTCTTATCATCTGGAGTGAAGTCCACTGTAATCTTACAGCTGGACCCTGCAAGCAGGGACCCACATCAATACCACAGCTATGTTCCCAACTCACTAGCTGACTGCCACCTTCCTCAGGATGGAGTCAGGAGGCTCAACCCACTCTGCAGATGACAAGATGTTAGGAGGAGGAGCCAACCCTCCCCATCCCACCTCTGCTGCCACCCCAGTACCCTGAGTCAGGGATAGGGCATTATGATAATTTATAAGAACAGGAAACATTGACAGGGTGCTTTCTGAAAATTGGTGGTGTCCTGAGCCTTGTTAAATACCTTATAAATACCTCTACTCATTAAATATTGCAAACATCCCCTGAGATAGGTCCCATGTTATTCCCCACAGATAGCTCATATAAGCTGTGCTCACACAACTAGAAGAGTGGGCACCAGGGCCCCCCACCTGAGGCAGTCTGGCTCCAGATCCTCTGGGGGTGTAGGACACTTAATCTCCAGACAGTGTGTCCCAGCTGGGTCACAAGTATGTAACTTAAGGGATCATCATTCATTTTTCCTGTCCCCTGTACCACACTGTGTGTAGATATTTGCACCAAACACCTGGACGAGGTGTGACCATCATGGCCTTGGTTTGAGTCATTGCAAGTGTGTGCTCACTGTATACCAGTCAGCCTCCTGTGCACTGGGGGCTGTGCATAGGGACCCCTATCCTTATGGAGTTTATGATCTATAAAGGGAGTAGGCAGTAAACAAGATAAGATATCAAGTACACTGGAAGGTAGTATTTGGGGTGGAGATAAAAGAAATGGAAAGAAAGCTGCTTTTTTGCGATAAGGTGGTCAAGGAAGCAGATGGGACTAGAGCATGAGTCATATAAATTCTTGAACAGTGAGATGCCATGTGTTTCAGGGCTGGTGAAACAGTATTGGGGGGGTGGACAAGGCATGGTAGCTGTACACCCCACTCCCATACCTTACCTCTATATTTCCCATCTGACTTTTGCTGAGTTATATCCTTTATAATAAAACTGTAATTGGAATTAGAGCACTTTCTTGGCTCCTGTGAGTTGTTCTAGCAAATTATTTGACCCTGAGGAGGGAGTTTTGGGCACCCCCAATTTATAGCCACATGTACAAGTAGCCTCGGAGATGTGGCTGGCATCCGATGTGGGGGATCTGAACTGAACTGAATTGAATTATCCAACATTTGCTGATGTCAAGAATCGGGGTAGTTGACATACAAGGGCTGGCCAAGACCCTGGGGTGAGTAGCTCACTACAGCCCCGGGGAGCCTTCCAAGCCCTAAGAGCAAAAGAAGCTAAGAAAGAGCCATGAGGGAGACCCAGGAAACCAGAGTGTGGGTCCAGAGGCTGAGACCTCTGAGAAAAGGAGGACATCAGAGTGGGTGGGGGCTGAGAAATGAATGCTGTTTGTGATATCAATGGGGGTCGTACCTCCCAGCCCCTGGTGGGCTCTTCGACAAATACCAGCTGCTGCCACCACTATCATAACCATCCCCTTTCCTCTGTCACCACAGTGGGCAATGGCCTGGTGGCCGGCAGCTCCGACTCATCCAGCTCTGGTTCCGGCTCGGACTCTGAAGAGCCCTCTGATGGCCAGTCAGCTAAGGTGACAGTGGCAGCAGCAGCAGCAGCAGTTACCCCCACCAGCCCAGCAGGCAGCAGCGGGCTTATCACTCAGGAGGGCATGCACATACCATTTGATGTCCACCACGTGGAAAGTCTGGCGGAGCAGGGCACCCCACTCTGCCCCAACTCAGTGGGCAGTGGGCCTGAAGCCCTAGAGACAGTGGTGTGTGTGCCAGTACCTGTGCAAGTGGGCCCCGGCTCCAGCACTCTGTTTGAAAACATGCCCCAGGAAGCACTGGGCGAGGTGGTGGCCAGCTGTCCCATGCCAGGCATGGTGCCTGGCTCACAGGTGATCATCATTGCGGGCCCTGGTTATGATGCTCTCACAGCCGAGGGCATCCACCTCAACATGGCAGCAGGCAGTGGTGCCCCCAGCAGTGGCCTGGGCAACGAGGTACCCTGCACCATGATGGAGGGCGTGGCAGCCTACACCCAGACAGAGCCTGAGGGCAGCCAGCCCAGCACCATGGACCCCACCACCATGGCAGGCATCGAGACCAAGAAAGGTCTGGAGGGTCGTGCTGATCCTGGGGGGCTACTGTGACCTCTGGCAGGGGCTGGAGTGGGACCTGGGATGGAGGGAGGGCAAGGCATGGCCCTGGAAACCCCCACGGACACCCACCCTGTGTCCCTGCCCCGTAGAGAAGGAGGACCTGTACATGCTCAAGAAGGAGGAAAAGGAGGAGGCGGTGGCCCCAGAGCTGGCAGAGCTGACGGCAATGGTGCCTGAGAGCACTGAGCCTGAGACCTTGGCCAATGGGGAGGAGCTGGATGGTAACGACATGTCAGCCATCATCTACGAGATCCCCAAGGAGCCGGAGAAGTGGGTGCCAGGGCAGATGGGGGTGGGGTTAACAAACAGTCCACAGGCATCTGCCTAGTGTGACAGCCCCAACGCCACGGGCCCCTTCCCCTCCAGGAGGCGGCGAAGCAAGCGATCGAGGGTGATGGACGCTGATGGCCTGCTTGAGATGTTCCACTGTCCCTACGAGGGCTGCAGCCAGGTCTATGTGGCCCTCAGCAGTTTCCAGGTGAGGCCAGCACCCCAGTGGGCAAGGCAGGCCTGCTTGTGCGTCTGGCTACCTGTGACAAGTGTCTGAGCCTGGTGGCTCATGGAGGGCCCCATCCAATCATGCCAAGCACTGCCTGGCATGCCTTCCAAGTGTCCCCTTGACCCCAGTCTACCTCAGCACCTTCTCCCAAATCCTGCCTCAGCCACAGGGAGACAGGCGTCACCTAACTGCCCTCCCAACCAACCAGACCTTAGCACACCCAAGGTGGCTCCCCACACAATCTTTTCTGGACCAGGTACTCAACTCAGGAAGCCCCTCCACTAGGGGTAGACTAGAGGATGGTGGGTCCCCAAGGGCAAAGATAGGGTCTTGTCATCCCTGTACTGGGCACAGGAGATGGCACCAGGAGTCCTTTGAACTTGCCAAGTCATGTTTTTATTAAGCATGTATTGAGGGCCCCAGACTAGTGCTGGGCCCTGGCACAATGCTCAATAAGTTAATGAATAAAAGGGGAAGAGAACAAATGACTAAATGACCCTCTCCAGACCCTGAGGATGATAGCCATGTGGCAAAAAGCTGCTCTGAGGCTGACAGCCATGGAATCCAATCCCAAGCATTCTCCTACCCCACCTATGAGACACACCAAGCCACTGAGCCTCGGGAACTTCCATGTCCCCATCTCTAAACTGGGCTAATGACTGACCCCTTCACAGGGTGATAACAGAGTTGTCAGATACCCCAACCCTGCTATAGTAGGTGCTCAATCAAGTGCTGCTTGATCCCAGTTGTACCCCTGGGTCCCAGCTGGGAGCTGGGGAGTCCCTCCCAAGAGCAAGGGCACCTCATTTTCTGCCTCCCAGCTGTCCTGGGATGTGTCCCTGGCCTGTAAAGCCCTTGAGTGGGTCCACAGCACATACAGCCCCACTCCTGCCCCTCTTACCCTCAGAACCATGTCAACCTCGTGCATCGAAAAGGGAAGACCAAAGTGTGCCCTCACCCTGGCTGTGGCAAGAAGTTCTATTTATCCAACCACCTGCGACGGCACATGATCATCCACTCAGGTCAGGAGCAGCATGGGACTGGCATTGCCAGCGAGGGCCCAGGGTCACAGGCCTGGGAACCAAGGCTGGGGCAGTCAGGGTGAAGTCTGGACACCCAGTCCCAGACACATGACAGCCCCTCTCAAAGCCAAGGCAGAGGAGGCACATTAAAACCGCCCTAGATGGACAGGGTGTGGGTGTGGGCTTGGGAGAGAGCCACCCATGTTTCTTCTGCTCCCAGCTCCTTGACTTAAAAGAGGAAGCTGATACCTGTGTCCAGCAGGAGGATATGGCTAAAGATTTTTTTTGAGAGGTGGAAACTTAAGGATTTTATGTGAAATTGCACCAAGTATTGGGGACCAATTCAGACCTATCTTGACAGTTTGCACCTACGTCCTTCAGGAACCCAAACTCAAATTCCAGCTCCCCAAATCTCATGCCAGGCTTTGAACCGCCCTTCATATTAGCTGAGGTTGTGGTGTTTGGGCCACCTGCTCCTAGGGGTCTGCAAGACTCTAATCTGGTGTCTGCATTGCATCAGTAACCCCACCTCTCCCTCCTAAAGCAGTGTCCTCAGCCTCCACCCCTCCTTCTCTTCCAGGTGTCCGTGAATTTACCTGTGAAACCTGTGGGAAGTCCTTCAAGAGGAAGAACCATCTGGAGGTACACCGGCGAACGCATACTGGCGAGACACCCCTGCAGTAAGTGCCTGACTTCCCAAGAGGGTTTGGGAGGGAGGGGATCCTGGCCTGGAGCCTCAGAGGACAGATCCCTTGGGCAGGCTCCACCCCAGGAGTCTCCTTTACCCAATTCCAAGAGTGCTCCCACCCCAGATAGCGCCTGCCCCCTCCTAGGTGCCCCTCCCACTCTGACCCTGCCCTCCCTCCTACCCTGGTGCCACCTACTGCTCCCCACAGATGTGAGATCTGTGGCTACCAATGCCGACAACGTGCATCACTCAACTGGCACATGAAGAAGCACACAGCAGAGGTGCAGTACAACTTCACTTGTGAGCGCTGCGGGAAGCGCTTTGAGAAGCTGGACAGCGTCAAGTTCCACACGCTGAAAAGCCACCCAGACCACAAGCCTGCCTGACCCACCAGACCACTGACCACCCCTATTTATTCGTCTGCTTGGACACCAAGCCCAAGCCTACCAAGTCTGGGACAGCTATGGCGGCCCGCTGGAACCACTGGTGGGAAGTAGGCGCCCTTACCCCACCTCAGGGCAGGTTCCCCCCCTTACCCGCCCTTTCTGTGGAACTGACACCTGGGGCAGCGCTGCTGGAACTGTGTCAAGAGAGCAGAGCAATATTAAAGATCAGGAAAGGAGATGCCCTTCCCCTAGGCCTGAATGATTGGGGCGGGGAGGGGAAGACCTGGGACCCTTTATCTGCAACTTGGCCCCTTCCTAAGCTGGGGGGGAGGGGATGCCCCTACAAGCCAGGCAGCATCCTTTCCTGTCAGTTTTGGCATTGCCTTGGCAGCTGCAAACACCCCCTTCTCTCACAGGGTCAGGGATGGGAGGTTGGGGGCCCAAGAGGCCACTGGGCATTTCCCAGGACTCAGGATCCCAATGCCCTCTCTTAATCCCTCGTGAAACACTCATTACCTACCCTCAGAGAGCTTGGACCAGTTGAGATGTTTAGTAACCCCGTGAGTAAGACATCTACAGCTGTGATAAGTGCTGTGCAAAAAGAGTAATATATTCGATACTGCGGGTGCTGCTTAGATGGGTAGTCAGGGAAGGCCTCCCTGAGGAGGTGGCATTTTTGTGCCAGAATGACAAAGAGGTACCTTGAAGAAAGCTGAGGGAGGCAAATCTCAGGCCGAAGGAAAAGTCGTGCCAAAGCCCCGATGTAGCACGGGCTCAGCATGTTCCTGGAACTGGCACCACGGCGAGGACGGGAGCTGGCCCCGTTTCCTGTAGAAGGACGCTGAGAACACCTCTTGCGGGCCGCCAGGGAGAGGGGCGGAGAGCGATGCCAGGCCTTGCGGCCGCCAGGTGGCGCGCAAGCCGCGTGAGCCCTGGTGGCCGCAACCACGTGACTCCAGGGACCACAGCCGAGAGTCCGGGCACGTGCCCCGGGGAGCCCTGTAGCTCCACGCGTAGATTGGCCCCGTCGTCTCCTCACCAACTTGGGGCGGGGTCACAGCTAGGCCTTTTTTTTACGCTTCAGACTGGAGCTACCCCAGTTAGGAATGGAATAGTCGGCGAAAATGCGCGAGTCTGGCCGCTAGGGCAGCCCCAGCGAGACCCGCCACCCAATCCCTCACTCAGTCCCCTTAGCTTTCCCCGCACTGCTGGTGCCTAGTGGTTTCCATGGGAACCGCAGCTGGGTCTTTGCGCCCAGGAGTAGCTCCCTCCCAGGACCGGCAGTTCCCGATCCAACGGGAGCTGCAAGGAAGAACGGGATGAACAAGCCATCGCTTAGGTTCCCCAGGGTGGACAAACACGTTGCCCCGGCAAACCACGAGGGGCCACCCGGGGACCAGCAGTGCCACCGCCCAGATTGCGCGGACTGCTTTGATTGGCCTGTCCTCTCCATCAGCGTGGCTGCATTCTGCTGCGCGCCCTCTCATTGGCTCACTCTCTAAGGCATCTCCTGCAATTGGCTTTCTCCAGGACAGTCTCTGATTGGGCAAATTAGCTTTCCTCGCTGGGTTTGATGGCACTCTCAGTCTGGAACCTAAAAGGGCGTGTAGAAAGTAGGAGAGAGTGGGGCTTGCAGTTCTCCAGTTAGGGGTCCTAGCTCTACTGCCCACAGCTCCCTCGACCTGGCCGTTGGACCGCTGTCTGTGGTGCTGAAGTCTCACTACGAGAAGCAACTTGTGCCTGCGGTCGCCCGGTCATAGCGTGCAGGTGCACTGGCGCAAAAGAGGAGGCGGCACCACCCCCCTGTCGCCTTCATAGAGGCAGCTCTCGACCCTCATCCCAGCAGAGAGGAAGCCCGACTCCACAAGCGAACCAGTCACAAACTGGGAAAGCCAAGACATTTACATGCCAGAATTGCTCTCCCTAAATTTACGGAGTAGGGAAGGTCCAGTGGTTTCCCCAGACAGCAGGGTGCTAGCAAGGTTTACCTGGAACCCTAAGCCCCAAACCTTTTCACCTTTTGGTAGCAGTGCGGAATTCCCTGCCAGCCTCACCTTTTGAATCCTAGAAGAGAACCCATTCAAAACCCATAGAGTCCCAGTTCCTTCTGCAGACAGACTAGGCTCACAGACACACACACACCCCTCCCCCCCCCACCGTCCTCCCTTGGCCTTAGAGGCGACACCTGGTTCCTCCAAATAAGGGGACTCTAGCCTCTGCCCATTGAAACTTGGTCCCTCATCCCTTTCCAGAACTCTGGGTGGACTGCACCTTTGGAAGATGATACATTTTGGGCCACTGGTACCTCCTTGTCCTCCCCGTGTTGGACAGAGGAGGGGGAACCTGCCGCATTTCCCGAGCAGAAAGCCTGCCCAAGAGGGAGCTCCAAGGCAAGAAGCGAGGGCAATGGGGCCCAAATCTGACAACCCGAGCCCCCAGGAAGTGATATCTGAGGTTGCGGAATATTGGCGAGAGCTCGCTTGGTTGCACCTGCCGCGCCGTCGGGCACCCCAGGGAGGCGGGGCTCTGTTGCCACAGCCAATAAGCGAAGCCGGCGCTGGCAGCTGCTGCTATAAAGGGCTGGGGGCGGCGGCTGCGCCGCCCAGAGCGCGGAGCGCGCAGCGCCGGCCAGAGGGAGGGAGGGAGGGAGGGTGAGGGGAGAAGACAGAGCACCCGGGACCGGACAGGCCGGGCCAAGGGGCGGCGGCAAGAAGCAAAGCGCCGCTCTCAGTTGGGAAGCCCAACTTCCCTGGGCCCCGCGGGGCCGCGCAGGGGCCGTTCCCAATCTCGCGCCCACTCCCTCTTTCCATCCCCTGCCGCCCGCAGGCCACCCCGGGGCCCAGTTTTCCTCGCGCGCGTGCCCGTCTCGGGCCCGTTCCCGGCCCTCGAGGGAGCCGTCGCCTTCACGGACACCTCTGCAGAGGCCGCGCCGGAGGCCGCCCGGGCAGGACCCCGGCGTGTACATCCAGCGCCCCTCAGGAGTGCACGACCATCGGAGCCGCCCTCAACACGGACCGCGCCCGCTGGGCACACAAGAATGGTCACTGTAGGTATTCCCCTGTCGTTGGGAGGGAACAAGATCGGGGAGGGGCTAGGCACAGACTCCACGGAGATGGAAGGGGGGGGGTAGGACCAGGCCTAGCTAGGCCCGGGTGCCGGGGTGGGGGGGGTAGGACCGAGTCTCGGAGTCTGAGAGTGGGGACAGGACCGCGCCCAGAGTTGTGGGGGCACTTAGTCTGGCCTGAGAGGCCTTAATGGGCCGAGCTGCGATTCAGGGGGCATCCTACGGCGCTCTGGGGGAAGAATTGCTCCCCCCTCCTCCGGCAGGCCTGATGGGGGAGGGGCCGCGGCCGCGGAGGATGCCTCTTCTCTCCAGGCCCGGCCCCGCGGGCTACCCAAGCAAAGGCAGGGCCCCAGTCTTTAGTGCTGGGCCAGAACCAGGCGACAAGGCGCCCCCGAGTGCCCCTGGGAAGCGGGTGGCGTCGGATCGCGCACCTCGGGTCTCGGCCGCACGGGTAAGCCTGGCACCTCGTCCTCGAGCCCGTCGACCTTGCGGCAAGCGGGGAGGGGAGAAGAGGGGGCGCGCCCGTAGGCCCCGCGGGCCCGCCGCCGCGTCCCTTTGTTTCTCGGCGCTTCTTCGCGGGCCGTAGCCTAGCGCGGCGCCTCTGGCTGCGAGGAGGGGGAGGGGAGGAGTGGGCCCAGAGCGTGGTGGAGGGAGAGGGGGGCGTCCCCATTCCTGGCCACCTCCCCAGGAGAGAGGGTAAGGGGTTGAGGTAGCTCCCCTAGGCCTGGTCCAGGTGCCCCACCCCGCCAGGGCCCTGGGCCGCGGGGTGACCTTGAGCGCGCCCGCCCGCGGCACTCGCCCCACGCCCGGTGCTTTCAGCAGCTACCGAGCTGGTCAGCTCCCGAGCGCGCGGCCACACCCAACCACGCCCAGCCTAACCACGCCCCTCCCCGCCCATCTAGGCCCCGCCCCCAGGGACCCGGGGACCCGGCCTAGCCCGAACCCTCGGATTTCCACTCGACAGCCCGGGCGTATCCCGGAGGCGGGGCTGGCCAGTTTCAACTCCACCCCCGCCCCCATCGCGTTACTCCTCTCCCCGCGCCGCTGAGCGTCCTTTGTCTGGTCCTGGAGCCAGGGCCTCCTTTTTCCGCTCTTGGTGTCTCTTGGGTCTCTGTACGTGTTTCTTGTACACTATGTCTGTTCCGGCCCTCTTTTCCGAGTCGTGTCGAGCTCTGTGGGTGGGAACATGCTCTACACTCCCTTCATGCCTGGGCCTCTTCCCTCCTGGACCCGGGGACCTACCCACCTGGCTCAGTGAAATTAGGCCCAAGAGGCCACGATTCCCTACTGCATGACTTCAGACTGGCTCCTTCCCCTTCCCTCTCTGGGCCTCACAGTGCTCACCCAGGCCCAGGATCGTGAAGGTGGCCTCCTGACGAGCTTCAGAAGCCCCACAACAATTCAGCTGCCATTCCCTTCATTTGTTCCCTCATCTGAAAGCAAAACTGATGCACAAAGGGGAGAGGGTGTGGTCAGAGGTCACAGAAGGGCTTTGAAGACATTGGAGATATGATTGCTCCAATGAAGGACATTCAGGCAGAGCCCACCTGGGAGACAGGCTGGGAGGAATGAGAGCAGATAGTGAGACAGTGAGGACCCTGCATGGAGGGAGAACTCAGAAGCAGGAGCCTCACTTAGCACCGTGTGGTAGCCCAGCCTTACCATGCATAGCAGCTCAGTGTCCTATTGTCACCTGTATCCTGTCATCTATTGCTGTAATTGGAACCAAGGGAGTGCAGCTGGGGGCCAATGGGTCAGACACTCAGCAAGTGACCCTCAGGTGTGCTCACAGCCAAATCCATTTATCTGATGTTATATGCAATGGTGCAAAGGTGTTAGAAAAAGAGTGACAGAGACAGGGAGGGTGAGACAGAGAGACGTTCAGAAAGAGATGAGCAGAGGGGAGAGAGAAAGACAGGAGTAAAGTGAGAAATAGACCAAGAGTAAGGGCTGGAGCAAGAGCAAGGGAAGGTTCTTTTGCTTCTAGTTTGCCTCTGCCTCTCCATCTTTGATCTGCTCTCCTCCTCTCTAACTTCACTCTTCCATCCCTGCCCTGTGACAGCTCTCAAAGTTCCCTGTGATCCTCCATGTCATTCCAGGCCACACACATGCTGCAGCCTGGGGCAGGGTAGTTGTGGCCTCCACCAATCTGATCCCCATTATCGGCTCAGCTGGCTCAGCCCCAGAGGAAATGCGACACTGATCCTGCTAACCTCTGGCACAGATGGGAGGAAGATGGCCTGGTGGTGAGATTAATAGGCTGGGCCTAAATATCCTGCATGGGAACCCTGCCATCACCTCTTAAACTCATCCAAATTGGTGATGGGAGATGATGGAGGAAGGGGAGGGTCAATTACCCTTATGCTCTGGAGTCATCAGGGCAAAGATCAAACCTTAATTCTATCACTACCACACACACCCTCCCCCATAACCCTAGGAAAGTCCCAGTTCCCTCTGATCCTCAGTTTCTCCATCTGAAAGATGGATATAATCTCCAGCTCTCTGGGTGGTTGTAGGAAGTGTATAATCAGTGCCTGTCACAGAGAGGGAATTCCAAAGCTGGAGTCTAGTGTATCCTGAAACAGTGGCATGTTTCAGGATCCCATAACAGGCATTATCGATCACAGAACTCTAACTCTTGCTCACAGAGTCCAGATAGGAATTGATAATTCATCTCCATACATAAGGACCTTTTTTTAGTGGAGGAACAGAGACTCAGAGAGGCAACTTGAATGTTGTCGGACACACAGCAAAGAGGATAGAGCCAACTGCTGGCACATGGTAGCACCCAGTAAATATTTTTGATTGAGTGCACTTGGCTGACACAGTGGGTTAAAAGGTAGCAATGCCTGGGGCATGACATAGAGTAGGTGCTCAGGTGTGCTTTGCTGTGATTATTTTTATTATCATTTGCCTGCTCATTAAGAGAATGGGCTGTAGAATGCAAAGCCTGGATCTGAATTCTTGGTCCACCATTGCATGCTGCCCAACCTCGGTGCACATTCCTATCTCTTTCATTTATACCTGGTTTCCTCTTCTGTTAAATAGAGAAGTGTTCTATAACATTCAGTGTTGGGAGAATTGCTGAAAATTTTCTCATAAAGAATTTTTTCTGGTACAGAGCAGGCCCTCAATGCATGACCATGTTATTAGTAAAGTATTAATATTACAAGATCAGTTTCTGATCTGTGGATTGTGCCTACTGCTTTACCACAGTTGCCCGTGACAGAAATTGCTAACTGACCCAATGCATGTTCCAACTTAGCCTAGATGTAGTTTCAGAATAACCTTCCAGGCAGCCACTCTCAACGAGTTGAACATACACGAGAGCTGATCCTCAGTTTCCTCTTTTTAATAAGGATGAATGGAAAAGAAGCAGAGATCAACAGAGCTAAAATCATTCCTGAGAACGTACAGCTATAAGGTAGCAGAGCTCCTCCTAACACATTGCCCAGTCATTAAAAACAGCTCTGAAGTCAAACACATCCAGAATTGAAATCAAATTCCTCATTTATGTACCTCAGTATCTCCGAGCTAATTTCCTCACTTGTAAAATGAAGACTTTGTTGCTTTTTTAAGACTGTTGGGATATATCAGTAAAATAATGCCTTCAAGTGCTTCACACTGCCTGATACATGAGCAGGGCTGTTGTTAATAGCAGTGTTATGAGGCAGACAAACCTATTACCACTTCCCATGATTGTGCCTGTGCAGACATGACTGATTGATCCCAGAATGTTTTCCAGGGCCTCCCTGGCGGCCTAAGGGTTAAATCTCAGTGCTATCTCCAGAATGCTTTCTACTTGCACCCACATGTAGCTTTAGATCCTTCCCCAGCCACTACGCCAGTAACTTGGAGTTTGTAGCAAAGTGGAGTACAGCCCCAGAAAGGTTCAGGAGTATACCTGGAAACACATCTGAGAAATAATAGAATTGGCACTTGTCTTGTTTGTCAGTGGATGTTGGAAATACAGACTCTGAATCAGAAAAGCCCACATGCAAAACCCTATACTACCACTTACAGACTACATGATTTTTGATAATTTTTTTAAGCATCTCTGAATCTCAGTTTCCTCATATACTGACTTGTAGGGCTGCTATAACAAAATATCATATAATGGTGGGTTAACCAACAACAATTTCTCATAGTTCTGGAGGTTGACAAAGGCAAGATCGAGGTGTTGGCTGATTTAGTTCCCGGAAGGCCCACTTCCTGGTTTGTATGCAGCCTTCTTTTTGCTGTGTCCTAATGTGATGGAAAGAGAGATCATCTCTCTCCTGCCCTTTCTTATATTCTTCCCATTCGTGAAGACTCCACCTTCATGATGAAATTATCTTTCAAAAGCCTCACCTGCAAATACCATCCTCAGTGGTGGGTTTCACATATGAATTGGGGCAGAGGGAATACAAGCATTTAGTTCATAACTTTTTTTAACATTTTTATTAGCTTTTCAGGGTTGTTGTGACTCTTTTCAGGGCCATTGTAACTAAGAAAAGAAAAATTGACTGTCAAAGACTTTTCACTGTGTCTGATACGTAGTAGTACCTAATACTTGGGCAAATGATGGTATTAGATTCCTGAACCAGATGATGTGTACATGCTGACTAATCACAGTGTTCTTTCCTATTGAAACTGGATGTGACTTCAGGTCCTTCTTAATTCATCCCTATAGGAAGGCCCTTCCAATCAATTTGAGTTTTCAAGTGAGGCAGCCTGTTTGCAAACCATGACATAGAAGAAACCCTAAGATAATGCTGGCTACTTTACCTTCCCATATCCATGACAGAAAATACCAATCAATCCCAGCACTGCTTCCTTCTGAGTTTCTATGTGACCCTTAAGATAGCCATTGCTAATTGTTTTTGAGTTTTCAACAAAGCAAACCAGACACCCAAGAGGCTAAGGGGCATATCTAAGGACACACGGCCAGTAGTTGTCAGCACTGGTTGCAGCCTAATTGACTGTCATAGTCAGAAAATATTAGAGTCATCTTCAAATCTAGACAGGTTGGCATTTGAGTTCTAGTGTCACCACTGATAATACTATGTGACTTAACCAAGTTCCTTAACATCTGAGTATCAGATTCCCCATTTGACATGACAAATGATTTCTACATTTTAGAATCTGTGTGTGAATTAAAATTTATAAAGTATAGATACAGAGGTTAAGAATCCTGAACAAATAATTACCAAACAACTCATCAAATCAAATCAAGCAATGTGTATAAATAAAAGTATAACATGGCCATGTTTAATTTATCTTAAGAAGGTTGGCTTCACATTGGAAAACCAATTATTGTAATCCATGCCACTATATTTATTAAATTGTGATTCATGATATTAAAGTGAAAAAGATTTAAATAGAAGTAGAAAAACATTAAATAAAATGTAACATCCATTCTTTTAAAAACAAATATTTGTTTAGATACTAAGAATAAAATTAAACATGCTTAGCCTGATAAATACCATCTACAAAAAGCTTATAGACAAAATCATATTTAGCTGTGAAATGTTTAAAGCATTTCCTTTAATGGTAGGAATAAAGAAGCCACTATTAGTATAGCTCCTACAAGACAATAAAAATAAATAAAAGTTATAAATTGGAAATAAAGAAATAAAACTTATTATTTGCAGGTATATTATATCATACATAAAGAACCCAAAATAGCTCAGTGGACAAACTGGGGGAATAAATGACTAGTGGGAAAATTATGCATGAAGCAAAAGAAATATGAACACATTTGGGATAGGAGTTACCTTTGGTGGGAGGAGGGAAGCACAAGGTCAGGGAGAGATTTACAAGAGCTTCGAAGCTAATAAAAATGTATTTCTTATTCTGAAGACAAAAATTTGTTTTATTTTTCTGAAAATGTATGGATTGGTGGTAGGAAAACTTGAAAACAGGCACTATATAGCATTTTTTTTAAAGATTTATTTATTTATACATACAAGAGCAGAGGTACAGGCCAGAGGTGTGGGGGGTGAGAGGATTCACCAGAGACAGATTGGGGAACAGAACAGGTGACTATACTGAAACACACTGCTGAGTGGAGGCGCAGGTGAGGCAAGAGAGGTCTGCTGCACCATGTGGGTAGCTCCGTGGCCCAGGATGGAACTCGTGCTACAGTGGCTGCGGATAGCTTCATATGTTGTGTCTCAACCCCTTGCGCCATCAGGGAGGCCCCTATATAGCATTTTTATATGGAATTTTCACAGTAAAATCTCATATAAAGTGCTTTGCCCAGCACTCAATGAGCGCAAGGGCTTATTAGATAAGAAGGGGAGGCTTTCGGCTTCCCATGTTCAGCCCATTTCAGACATGGCTGATCTGTCACCACTAAGCCCCCCTCACTCCTGCTGATCCCTGGTATAGGGGCTGGGCCGTCAGCGGGTGCGGCCTGTTGTCTCCAGCAGATACTCGGGGCCATGGAGTCTCAGGTGGCGGGGGGCCCGGCCGGCCCGGCCCTGCCCAACGGGCCGCTCCTTGGCACAAATGGAGCCACTGATGACAGCAAAACCAACCTCATCGTCAACTACCTGCCCCAGAATATGACCCAGGATGAGTTTAAGAGTCTCTTCGGCAGCATTGGTGACATCGAGTCCTGCAAGTTGGTTCGGGACAAGATCACAGGTGTGGCTGCTGGTGGGTGGGGTGGGGAAAGGGCAGAGGTGCTAGCCTCAGAAGTATAGGTGTGACAGAAAAGGGTGTGACTCCAGAGAGAAGGTGATGGGCCAGGTGGGACCCTAGCGGATCTGAGGTAGGGTGGGGAAGCAGGTGTGATCTTTGGGGTGATGGGACATATGGGACTGTGGGAGAACACAAAGGGTGGGATCTTGGTTTTCATAATCTTTAGGAGGGCAGGCTGTCAAGCTTGCAGGCCTGGGTAGACAGTGGGAGGTGCTGGGAGGTCATCGTCCCAATCATGCCCCTAGGACAGAGCCTTGGCTATGGGTTTGTGAACTACTCTGACCCCAACGATGCAGATAAAGCCATCAACACTCTCAATGGCCTCAAGCTACAGACTAAGACCATCAAGGTGAGTGGCTTTCTCCTCCCACACCCGTTGCTGCCCATCCCTGCTGTTCCCATTTCCCCATTATTTGCGCCCATTTGGACCAGACCCTTCATTGTCACCCAACCCTGAACAGCCATCTACCCTCCCCCCATACCATCTTCATGCCCTGAGGGGTTCAAATATCTTCTCTTGCAGGACCCCCGCCCCAAGGCTTCGTAACTGGGCCCCCTAGGGTAATGGATCAGCCTTCCCGAACCTATTTCCTCACTTGTCTATGGGAAGAATATCAGACCCCCCCCCGGCCCCCCATTTTCTGGCAGTGCAGGGAATCTGCCAGGCCCTGGCGACCACCCCCACCTCCACCCACCTCACAGTAGAAGTGATCAGGGCCTAGGAGACTACCCCTTCTGCTTTTGTCATGAAAATGGTGAGGGGTGGGGCCCATCTGCCATCTGGAGCCTAATTAGGGTCTGGGAGGGCAGGATTAAAGGTGGGCCCCTCCTCCATCTTTGTGCAATGCCCCTCCCCAATTACCTCCCCTCTCAGCAGCTGCAGCTGGGACCCTGAATGCTTAAGTTCCCTAGGGGTATTGTCATGGAAACCCCCCCCTTCTTGGTTTGCCTGGAGGTGTCTGAACTCCACCCTGAAAATCTGCTCCTGAACCCTGGTGGGTGGGGGATGGTGGGGGTGCTGTGGAGACTGGTCTAGGAGATACCCATCTGGTCTCCAGTTAGCCCTGGAAACAGAGGTGCTGGAATCTTTTCCTCTTCCTGATTGGGGTTGGGGAGCACCACCAGGTCTGAGGGGTGACCTGATGGGTGACTTCATGGCCAACTAGACCCAGAAGCTACCAGATTTTAGCAAAAAACTATTAGCTGCAGAGGGCCACTGTGTGTGACTCTAGGATGTCAGACATGGTATTTGGGAGACACTATATGAGTGTCATCACATGGATCTGGCTATTACAGACTTTGGGTGTGTTGCTGTGGGAGATACTTTTGACAGGTGCTTTGTGACTTGCTACAACTCTGATTGTGACCTGGTAGGATGGAGTGGGTGTCTGGCTGTGACAGGGTGTTTGTGTGTTACAATGAAGTTGTGTAGGTGTGTCTATCTGTGTCCCATTTGGGGTGTGTGACACTGGGGGCCTGTGCAGTAGTGTGTGGCAGGTATATGATTCTGTAATTCTTACAAGGTTCCCAGTGTCACGATCAATGTGTCAGTAACCTTGTGTCACCCTCCTGCTGGTGTAATCACTGTGGTTGGTCCTGTGTGGCCTTGTGTATGTGTGTTTATGCTTGGGTGACTATGTTGCGTGGTCATTCCCAACTGGGTGCTCTGACAGATTCTGCCCCAGAGAGTTCCAGCTGCTGCCTATATGCCAGGCCCCAGCCTGGTACTGAGGAGGGGAGGGGAAGCATGACAGAAGCCCAAACCTAATTGAGGAGCCTGGATTACCCACATCATAGAAGAATGGGAAAGGTCCCTGAAGATCCTTTCTGTCCCTTAGATGATACTTGACACCAAACCACCCGCCCAGGAGCTCAGGTGTGCCTCAGGATTCCCCCACCTCCAACCCTTATTCATCAACAAGTCCTCATCACTCAAAACTCACAGCCCCATGAGGACAAGTGAAAACCGTCAAATACATGATCACCATTTTAATGCACTATTACAGAAATAATAGCAGCTGGTGTATTTGTCTTTTTTTCTGAAGGCTCCCAGGTGTACACAATTGCATTAATTAGAAATCTCCACCCTCCAACCCCATGAGCACACTCATCCCCATCTACCCTCAGCCCACATTATTCAGTTTGTTAGTTTTTTAATTCATTATTACCAAGGAAAAAAACATGCTCTCAGAACTCACCACCTCAATGACCCTTGACAATGACCCTCTCTCTACCTAGAGGTTAATTCAGAATAGAAATAGAAATAGACATTGGTAGAAATAAGGGTGAGGGGAGCTCATGACCCTCCCCCCCCCCACTATAAGTCACCCTGTTAAATATTTAGGGGTGAGCCCTCCAGACCACATTTCCAGGACCTTGATGAACACATAATGAGATGGGGGTCACACAACACCCGCTGCTCTGTAAATGGACTTTTCTTTCCCCCACTTTACAATACTCACCACTGTTTCAGGGAAATAAATATACACGTCCAGCATTTTTCAAACAGCTGCAGAGAGTTTCATTGTTGTACTGGACTATAATTAATGACATGAATTCAATGATCGTTCTAAAAAACGTGTCTGATTCACAATGGAGAGAAGGGCTTTGAGAGAAAGTAACAGGGGTATGGGTGAGGGACCAGATTCAGATGAGGGAGAACAGGGAGGACATTTAAACCAAGACCTGGAGAAGAAAATAAAGGAAGAGACTTCCACATAGAGGGAACAATCAGTGCAAAGGCCCTGAGGCTGGAGTATGCCTGGTGTGTTTGGGAACTGTGGAAGAAGCTGGTGTGTCTGGAACAGAGGAGCCACATTGAGGGGGGAAGTGGGTAGAAATGAGGTCAAAGGTGTGATGGAGTAGGTCCTGCAGGGCCTTGTGGGTATGGGAAGAAAGGTGGGGACCACAGAGAGTTGAGCAGAGGAAAGAAGTGACCCAGCTCAGATGCTCATAAGTGCCCTTCGGCTACTACAGTGGGAACATACTGGGGCTCAAGGTGGGAGTGAGACCCAGAGTAGCAGTAGAGGGGCCTACCAGGATCTTGGTGAGCAGCAGTGTTGTGAGCTGGGCCAAGGTGGGGTTGTAGACTGGACAATGAAGTTGGAGTCCACAAGACTGATGGTGGATTAGATGTGAGTATGATGGAGAAGCAGCAAGAACAGTTTAAGGCCGGACTACCCAGAAGGACAAATGCAGTTACTGAGCCAGGGGCAGCTGGGAGCCAGATGTGACTGTGCTGAGTGAACCCCCGCCTTGTGGGGTGTCCAGAGATAGGTGTTACCCAGGTATGCAGCTTGAGGGCCAGGTCAGAGCTGCAAATGGAAATTTGAAAGTTACCAAGTTTGAGCTGGTGACTAAATACCTGAGTGGCCCTCAGGAGCCCAGTACAATCACGGTAAGAAGGGATCAGTGTCTCAGGCTCATGCTCCGAAGGAACAGGAAGCTTCACCTTTTCTGGAATGTCCAGCTGGGCACTCACGGGTCTCTGGGTCCTCAAACAGACATGTAATCCAGGGATGTGGTCCTTTGACCTCCTCTAAAGACAGCCCCTCCCCTGCTCTATGCAGGTAGGGCCATGGCCATGTTGTCTAGATCACAGTCCTGTCCCCTCCCCCAACCCTGGTTGACCCTACAGTGACTACTTGAGAGATATTTGTTGAGAAAACAGATGAGGTATTTCTGCAACTCAGTGGTGGTTTGGGTGTTGCCTCAGTCTCCCCATCTGTGAAATGGGTCTTCCCCTTACCTCTGTCCACCTGACCCCCTTCCCCAGGTGTCCTACGCCAGACCCAGTTCTGCATCCATCCGGGATGCTAACCTATATGTCAGTGGGCTTCCTAAGACCATGAGCCAGAAAGAAATGGAGCAACTCTTCTCCCAATATGGTCGCATCATCACTTCTCGCATCCTGGTGGACCAGGTCACAGGTCAGGCTACACCTGGCGGGGACCCTGGGCAGAGGCACCGAAGCGGGACCAAAATGGAGGAACTGGGAATAGAGGGACAAGAATATGGTCAGGGATGAGGGGCCGCTGGAAGGGGCAGTGTCCTCACAGTACTCTCATGCCCTTGTAGGTGTCTCACGGGGTGTGGGATTCATTCGCTTCGACAAGAGGATTGAGGCTGAGGAGGCCATCAAAGGACTGAATGGACAGAAGCCACTGGGTGCGGCCGAGCCCATCACGGTCAAGTTTGCCAACAACCCGAGTCAGAAAACAGGACAGGCCCTGCTCACTCACCTCTACCAGTCATCTGCCCGGCGTTACGCCGGCCCCCTGCACCATCAAACACAGCGCTTCCGGTGAGCCCCCTGCTGTCCACTCCTAACACACGGCCCAGACCCCCAGGCCTTACAACCTCCCTGAACCCATTCCTACAGGGACAAAGGACATGGAACAGTGTCTGCTGAAGGCAGCAGAAACAAAATGTAGAAGTTCATTAGGTGCTGAGGTTAGGTCCTATATACAGCAGATAGTCAATGTGTGCCGAGCACTGCAAGTGGCATTGTTGGTGTAAACGTTTTTCAGGTGACCTGACTGGGATCCAGCTCTGGCTTCCTCCTCTTTCAGGCACATGATTCCATGTGTTGTCTGTGCCTTAGTTTCCTTGCCCACATGTCATGAAGGCTTCCTGTGTTTTAGGTGCACTTATTTACTCTGCACCACAACCCAGTGACAACAGAGCTTGGCTGGTCCCCATTTTACAGACTGGGGCCCTGAGGTACAGAGAGGCATTGTCATTTGCCCAGCCCAGGCATAGTAAAGAATGACTAGAACCCAGGACCCTGAGTCCAGCATTAGTGAGGACAAACATGGGAGACTCTCATGGGCCCTATGTGGCCATGGTGGGTTACGCCCCCCTCATCAGTTGGCTATGCTTGTTTTTATCACCTTCCCCAGAAAGCTGGGCCTGTGGGCCCGACAAGTCTGAACTCTGCAGGGTCAGGGCAAGTGAGTGGAATTCAGTCAGCCATGAGGGACAGGACAAGGATACTGGTGCAGGCCCAGCAAGAGGCGGTGCCTGAGTGACCGCGGTTCCGTGCCAGGCGGTGTCCAGCTGGGTGGGGAGCAGGCGGGCGGGGGCAGGGCTGGTGCCGCTGCCTGCTGGGTGGGGGCGGGGAGGGATGACTGACTGGCCAGTGGCACAGCCAGAGGCATGCCCCGAAGCCACTGGTGACCACCACTTCTGCCTCCACAGGCTGGACAATTTGCTCAACATGGCCTACGGAGTCAAGAGGTAACAGTGCCCCCGCCCTGCTGTCCCCAGCCTCTGCTGTCCCTCCTTGGACCCTTGCCCTGATGGACTCCATCCTCCCCTTATCCCCACCTCACCCCTAGGACTGACAGCTGAGCCTTGTCTCCCCTGTATGAGAGTAGTATGGCCATTAAGACATTTGGGTCTATCTGAGCTAGTTAATGCCTATCAATAACTACTATGAAATTTGTGCAGGGGTGCTGGCTGTGGCCTTCTCCAGTGAAGGGCAGGCAGTGTTGCTCAGGACACAGCTGTGCCCTGGTTCCCATGTTAAGTCTGAGTTCCACTGGTGATTTGTTAATTGTCTTTGTCGAGGGTCACAGAATGTCCTGTAGTCGGGGACAGATCTGGAGGCCCTGTTGACCTTGTCCACATCCCTGACTCTGTGAAGGTCCCCATGTTATTGTTTTATTACATCATGAGCTATTGAGTGCACACTGGGTTCTGAGCACTTGACTTGGGGCTGAGGACCCAGCGTGGCCCAACCAGACTTGTTTCCAGGTGGAGATAAATGATATAAAGCACGATGCTGGGCATATAGTGAGCACTCAATTAAAGGTAGCCGCTCTTGTGATTATTGTTACTGTTGTTAATTATGTCAGTCATATGGAGGAGAGAGAGAGATGAACAGTGGCAAGGCTGTAAATGGGGCAGAATAGTGGTGGTGGGGACCCAGAGGGGATCTGGGAGCTGGCCGAGAGAACAAAGTTCCTGGCAGTGGCAGGGAGGAGGGACTAAGGTGAGTCTCTTGAGTGGTCAAACCATCCCCCATCCCCATCCCCTCAGGAAGGCAGAGAGCCATGGGGAATATGGGTAGAACCAATCCTGACATTTCCTTCATTCACTCGACAAATACCTCCAAGTGCCTACTGTGTACTAGGAGCTGTTCTGGGTTGGGGCACTGCCAGGAACAAAACCTTGCAGGGAAGATGGGAGCTGATAATAAAGGCAGTCGTCCCTCCTTATCTATGGTTTTGCTCTCAGTTGTTTCAGTCACCTGTGGTTAACTGCGGCTCAAAAATATTACATACAAAAAGATGTTTTGAAAGAGACCAGATTCACATAACTTTTATCACAGCATATTGTTGTAATTGTTTGATTTTATCATAAGTTATTGTTGTTAACCTCTTGCAGTGCATAATTTATAAATTGAAGTTTTTCACAGATATGTATGTATAGGAAAACAAAGGTATAGACAGGGCTCAGGACTTCCTGTGGTTTCATCCATCCACAGGTATCCTCAGATAAGGGGGGGGGGGCTACTGTATATTATTTGAACTTGAAAAGGCCAGAGAGGGTCAAAGGAAAATGATGGACCACATTATGGGGTCAGTCAGACAAGGGCACCCTGAAGAGGTGATGGCTGTGCTGAGACCTGAATAACGGGCTGAGAGCAGAAACTTAGGCAGCTATGTTCACATCCCAGCTCCCAGGGCAGCCCTTCCGGGTGAACCTCCAGTCATGTGGAGCGGGAGTGGCACTGTGCTCAGTGGGCAGCATTGTGAAGGGTGGGGTTGGGGTGGGGCAGGAGCAGAAGCTAGATGGGAAGGTGTGCCAAAGGATGAGTAGCAGTCAGGGGTGGAGAAAGCATCAGGGACAAGAGGATCAAGGACCATTAGGGTCAAATGTCATGGGGTCAGGGTGTAGGTGGGGGCTCCGAGTAGCATCATAGTGAAAGCCTCACATTCAGGGAGGATCAGAGGTCAGAAAAGGCCACAGGTCAGGATGAAGATTCAGGACTGATATTGCATCAGAGTGTGGGGGCTGAAGGTGGGGTCAGAGATGGAGGTCATGGAGCCATGGCAGGGTCAGGGTAAAGTTGGGACACAGTAAGGGGTCGTGACAGTCTCAGGGATCACAAGATCAAAGTTAGGGGTCAGGGGCATGCCGGGGGTCAGGGCAGAGCCCGCGTGACCCCCAAAGTAGTCCCCTATCGCTCATCGCCAGGTTCTCGCCCATCGCCATCGACGGCATGAGCGGTCTAGCAGGCGTGGGCCTGTCGGGGGGCGCTGCAGGCGCTGGCTGGTGCATCTTCGTGTACAACCTGTCACCAGAGGCAGACGAGAGCGTGCTGTGGCAGCTGTTCGGGCCCTTTGGGGCTGTCACCAACGTCAAGGTCATCCGCGACTTCACCACCAACAAGTGCAAGGGCTTCGGCTTCGTCACCATGACCAACTACGATGAGGCAGCCATGGCCATTGCCAGTCTCAACGGCTACCGCCTGGGCGAGCGTGTGCTGCAGGTCTCCTTCAAGACCAGCAAACAGCACAAGGCCTGAGCCACTGTCTGCCCTTCCCACCCTCCCCGGGCAGCAGAGAGAGAGAGACAGAGAGAGACAGAGACAGACACGAGGGGCCCGTGAGACAGCGCAGGCAGACCACGGACGGCACGAGGGCCCCGAATCCCTGCGGAAGCCACAGGGTGAGCACTCGGGGTGGGAGGGTGTGCAAGGAATCAGGGGTGCCTGGGGGTCCCCCACCCCATTCTCCTGCCCCCTACCCTAGGCCAGGCTGTTCACTCTCTCGTCTTGGTTTTGTTCATGGTGATGGTTTTTGTTTCTTTTTTCGGCTAAAAAGAAAGCAGAGATGTGCTCCCATCCCACCCCCTCAACCCTCCTCCATGAGATGGCTTGGGGGGGCACTGGGGGTGCCCTCCCAGGCCACCTTGCCCAGGCCTCCCCAACACCTAGGTTGCCTGAGGCAGGAGAGGGAAACAGGTTTAAAAATCCCCAAAAAAGTGAGACGTGAGGAGGGGTGTGGGCATCCCTGACCCAGAACCCCTTGGTGGAATGTGAGGAGCAGGGGGAGGGGCTGGAAACAGAAACAAAATGAAAAAAAGGGGGGGGTGGGAGGGGAAGAAAAACTCTATTTTTGTAAAAAGGGAAAAAAGACCTCGTGGAGAATTTTTACTGGGGATTCTTGAACTTGAAAAAAAAAAAAGACAAAAAAAAAATATTTTGGCAGGTTATGTTTACCAACTGGGGCAGGGATAGGGAGCAAGGCTTGGGGACTGGGGTTCCACAGGGCCACACAGAGAAATGCAGCCATGTGAAACCACACAGGGGGATCCACCCCCCTCACCCCCCAGGACACACAGTAGCACATACGGACACATAGGCACTACCAAATGTGTCGGAGCTCTTGGCCAAACTCAGATACACAAACAAATCTGTGGACAAAGGAGACGGAAACGCAGGGCTACGTTACGTTTATGTGGTCGTGGGTGCATATGGCCACAAGCCGAGGTGGCCAAGGGTGAATGTAAACACAGGTGAACGTGGACGGGGATAAACCTGGACAAAGGCACATGTGGACACACAGACGTGAACACTTCCACACATGCACATGATCACATGCAAGTGGATATGGACTTAGACATACAAATCTACACACCCAGTCGCAGAGAAACACAGACACAACACCCAGGGACACATCAACATGCCCTTAGCTTCCCTCAGGCCCAGGCAAGAGGTCACATCCTAGACCCTGGCCCAGATCACTTCCTCCAACTAGGCCACCTGGCTCCTCCTCCCAGAATTTGGCCCTACTCATCCCCGCCTGGGTCCTCTGCAGAGCTGTCTCCTGGCTCATTAATGGTCTCCCTGCTGCCCATGAACACAGGCGTGCACACAGCATCCATGCACCCAGACACACAATACCTCGTTCCACTTTGGCATCACGGTAGGCTGGAGGCAGCCACCAGCCCCAATAGTTGAGGCCAAAGGTCCCCCTGTCCCTGGGGCTGAGTGTCCATGGGCTGAGTCCCTGGCCCACAAGGCTGAGGGGGATGCCAAACAAGGAGCCCCCGCCCCCACCTCCAGGGATGGTCCCTGTCGGACCCAGGGTGGACGATTCTGCCCTACATTCCTTTCCTATCCACTTGTCCCCACCCTGCCCCTTTCAGTTTGTTGGGTTTTTCCATTTTTCCAGATGAGCGAGTTCAGTGGCTGCAGCCCCCATCCTGAGCCCCAGTCTCAGCCTCTGTATGGACTGTCCATCCCCCTAGTTTTCATTCTTTGTACAGAGATTCCAACAGAAGCCAAAGGCCAGAGCCCTAGGGAGCCCTCCGAGACCCCACCCCCCACAGAGGGCCCAGTCAGAACTGAGAATTGCAAACCCCGATTTCAGCTTTAGTTGCCCTTCCTCCAGTGTCCCTGCGTTTGGTGTCTGGCCATGGCCCCATCTGGCTGCCCAGCTCTCTCTCCCCCTGCCCCTCCCGGTGTTGTTATTAAACGTCTGTGGAGCTTCTGCTGCAAGGAACAAAAAGAAAAAAATCAAAAAAGCGATTAAAAAAAAAAAAACCGAAGAGGAAGAAAAAACAGAAAAAAGGAAGAAAAAAACACTCACAGAAGAGATTTTAAAAAAAGGAAAAAAAAAAACAACCAGACATAAACTGGCACCAGTTAACTTTCTTGTACTTTTTTGCCGAATTTAGCTTCTCGTAGTTTTAACTTATTGCTATGTTAACTATTTATTCTCCTTGTTGCCCTGTAAGGACATTTGTGTATATTTCTGTTACTTCATCCAGTTTGCAAGTTAAAGGAACCATGACGTTCTCTTTGTTTCTTTCAGTTTTGCCGAGACGTGGTTATGCCTAATTTATTTATAAAAGGGGAAGTGGAATTATTAAAGTAATAATTATTAATAACAGTAATGGTAGCGAGCAGCACCCAGGAAGTGTGCGCTCTGAGAGGCGGTCCCCGCCGCCAGCGACGTCTGGGGTTTCAATGGGTTTATTTTTTGCTCGTCTTGAGAATTTTTTCAGTCCTATTTAGCTGGTGAAAACCCTAGCTTGTTCTTGATACACAAACCTATTTATTCTTGTGGTTTTAAGTCCTCCTGACCTCCCAGCTCCCCTCCAGCAGGGCAGGCACCCCCAATGGGTCCCCCCTCTCCCTCTGCTGTTTCCTGGGGCTTTTTCTCCCCTCAGTCCTCCGTGCTCGAGGACACGTGTATACACGTGGGCAGCGTGCCGGAGGCGTCTGTGAGCAATAAGGGCTGGGTTTGTCCCCCACCCTGGGGGAGGGGGACCAGGCTCTGAAGAGGGGCACCTCCCCAAAACCCCCACTGAGGCCTAGGCCTCTCCCACTCCCAAGACTGGGAGAGGACTTTTTTTTTTTTCCTAAAACACAACTCAGCCCACATAGGCCCCATTCCCACAGGCCAGCTCCTCACCTCAGGGGAGGGGCCTGAGGTCTTCCTCATCCCTGAGGGGGCAGCGCAGAGCCAATGGGGATAGGGCTCAGCCCCTCCAGCCCTCCCTTTATTCTGTTATTTATTCAGAAGGTTTCAAATCATGACAGAGTCCATGTTGGAGGTGATAAGGAACTGTTAAAAAAAAAACAAAACAAAAAACAAACAACAACAACAACAAAACAAAAAAAAAAAAAAAAAAAAAAAACCCAAAACCCAACAAGAACACTTTGCGTTGCGTTTAGACTATTTATTACCGGGATTACAGGCCTGGCCGCGGTAACAGACTTTTACATGGAATTGTTTAATTATTTGTACTTTTCATGCCAGAAAATAAAAGTTCAGAATCTTAAGAGCCTCGCTGGGTATCTGTGAGCTGATGGGTCAGGGTGTGGCGTTTGTAGCTGTGGGCAGGCCTGCCTGCAAGCGGGCATGACAATAGAGGGGTGGGAGAGGGGGCATGGGGTCGGGGTCGGGGGAAGGAGACTTGCCCAGGGTCTTGTCTGTCCCTTGACTCTGGACTTGGTGTCCTGGAGCATCTCAGATGTGAATCATTCCAGGTGTGACTGGTGAGGCCCCACCTGTGGTGCGGCCTGAAAGGGAGGGGGCCCCTGCAGGATCTGCAGACCCTGTCTGTCCCTGGCCTGATCCACACCCAAGCAAAACAAGGCAAACACAGAGGGGGGAGGAATGACATTTATTGTTTTGAGGTCACAGGTCAAGTCACATGTCCCTACATGAAAGGAGGCAGATGCCTGGAGGTGGGTCTGAAAGGATGAGCCCCTTTACTCCATCTTTGGAAGCTGCTGGGCCTGGGAACTTGGCTTTGCTCTGCATGGCCCCTGACAGCAGGGCAGAGCCCCCACCTGGTTCCTGCCTCCATGGGTGGAGAGAGAAGACCCAGAGGAGCAGGCCTTGGTTCACAGACTGAGGTGCAAGTGGCAGCACCGCTGGGGGCTGTTGACAAGCCTTGAAGTTCTGGAGGATGGAGGCGAAGGGAGTTGGAGAGCAGCGGTGCTGGCTTAGGTCTCTTCCTTAGACCCTTCCACACCACTGATGGAGGCCCCACCTCCCCACTTACCTCTGTGCTGTGTGGGACTATAGCTCATCATGGTCACCTTCAGTGGGCAGCTCAGGTGGCGGCTCTGGGCAGGCAGCCGGCGTCATCAACTCCATGAGGTATTCACAACGACTGGGTTCTGTGGTGCTCGTCACTACTGTCTCCTTCCCACAGAGCAGGCGTACCTGGAGAGGGTGGTAGGCAGAGGATCAGGGGTACTAGGGCGGATCTATGTTCCCCTCAATACTATCCCCTCCCTCTCAACAGGCACTCACGGTGGTGGAACGGTTTGGGCCTTGCCAGCAGCCCGTGCCCTGCTCGTATTTCATGGCGCTAAACTTGTCATGTTCAGGGCCAGCCCATGAGCCCCAGGTGCTGCAGGAGAGAGGTGCTGAGGGTAGGCCAGCTAGGGGAACTGGGGACTAAGCAAAAGGGGTTTTAGCCTGAGTCCACTCACCCAAGGTTAGTAGGGGAGCCACCCAGTTTAGGTTTCTGGGAGACGAGCTTGAAGGGGCAGAGGCGGTAGATGTACCTGTCACAAGACATGGTAGGTGAGTGGGGGACCCCATTCTCCTTGATGCCCCCACACATGGTAAGATCATAAGTTTCATACTCCACTGACTGCCCTTAAGCCCACACACTTTATTTCCTCCCACTAAGTCGCTACTCAGCCCCCCAAGTCCACCCACTGGTCCTGTCTACAGGGGGTGAGGAGACATACTCATTGGTGGTGAGCTCATAGCACTGGCTATACAGGTAGGCGAACTCTCCATTGGGGCCAAAGTCAAAGGAAATCTCCTGCTCTAGATTCCTGGAAGGGGAGCCGAAAGGTTAAAGATGCCACAGTCTTGCACGGACCACACAGGAAGGCCCCATCAAGCGAGCGGAGGGCCATGTGGGGGCTGGGCTCCGGAGGGCCATGTGGGGGCTGGGCTCCAGTTCCCTGCCGCCTGGGGACCCTCCACACCGGTGCCACAACCCCGCCTCTCCAATCTTGCCAGCAGTTGCCTGGGTGACTCCCCATTACCACCTCCTCTGGGGAGCCCCACAGCAGGCAACTGTAGGGCAGGTGGAGACTTGGCCGTATGAAGCAAGGTAAGCTCTCTCATACCTGATGGACTCGTCCACATCCTTCAAGGACCGCTCGGCCTCTTCAAACTTGTTACGGGCCTCTTGGGCAGCTGGGCGGTAGGGAATGTGTGGTGGAAGAGATCGGAGGTACCCTCCCCCCATGATGGGGGGGAGCAGGTGCCATGGACACACCTGTTCCCTTCCTCCAGCCCCCCACCCCAAGGGGGAAGCCTGAGGACTGAGCCCATGAGGTCCCGTGAGCCTCCTCGGTCACAGAGCTGACCCCATCCTGCTGCCCAGACTGTCAGCTCCCAAGGGAGCAGGACCAGGACTCCTGGGATCCAGCTGATTCCCAGCCAACCAGGGTGGCACAAACAAGCTGCAGCCCGTGAGGAGGCAGGAGTTCCCTGAGGCTTAATCGGGTGGCACTCTCTTCCCCAGTTCCCAGAAGCCCCCACCAGGATTTCGCAAGACCCCCAAACTCCTCAGGGAGCACAAGGGGCCTGCTTTTTAGGCCCCTGAAGGGACGGACAACGAGGAGGGCCAGGTTTCAGCAGGGTGCCCCCATCCCAGGCCTGACCCTCACCATCAATGAAGGCCTGTGTCTGCTCATCATAGGGTGGCATTTTGTCCTCTTCTGTGGGGCTGGCTGGCTGTGGTGGCACCAGTGGGGGTGGGGCCTCCTGGGGGCAGAGTCAAATCAGCAGGTGACCCCTGCCCCCACCATTCACCCCTTTCTCCCCCACACACACCTTGGACTGCTCCCCCTGCACCTGGGAATCCTCCTCCTCTTCGTCCTCCTCCTCCTCATCCACCTCCTCCTCCTCCTCCTCCTCCTCTTCTGCTGCTGGTGAGGGAACCAGGGGCTGCTCCTCCTTGGGCTTTGTCAGATGGGGATCAGAAGGCACCGGCACATCAGTGGGCAGCACCTGGTGGGCACATGGGGCTATGGACTTGAGGACCATTGACCCCCATCCTCCCAAGCTCAGGTCCACATTCACATCACCTAAGGGGCAGCATCAGTGTCTCCACCCCTTCAGAGGGGCCTGGAGGGGGCGGGGCAGACAGCTGGGGTTGGGGGGGCTTGGGTTGCCCAGCTGGCCAGCATGGCCCTGTGCCAGAACTGGAGGCAATTCTTTTGTGAGACAATGGGGGGTGGGGCAGGCCCACATTCTCCAACCCCAACCAACCTCAGATTCAGATCGGTACTTGTTTCTGATGGCAGCCCAGACACGGTCATAGAAGGCAGTGGCGTCCATCTGGGTGTCCCCCCCAAGGAGGGCCTGTGTGGAAGTGTTGGGGTGTTGTCAGGATTGGTACATCCACCTACCCTCCATGCCCCAGGGTCCCAAAGGGGAAAGCTTAGGCTGTGGTGCCAGGCACAAGCCAGCTGGTGCCAGGCTGCCTGGCTGGGCCCTGATTACCTATGGCTGGGTTGGGTGAGGGCAGAAGCCAGAAGGGGGCAGCACAGGCCTGTGGGAAAAGTGGGGCTGGAGGGTGCAGAGACAAAAGAGACAAGCAGAGACAGAGAAAGCAAGTGCACAAGCATCAGAGAAGGCCAGGCCCTTGGAGGATAGGCCAGGCTGAAGTGGGACAGGCAGGGACCAAGGATCAGGTGTCAGACAGGTAAACACAGCGTTGTATCTCACGTGAGGAGGGTAAATCAGGTATATATTTGGGGGAGCAGGTGGGAGCATGTGGGTGCCCTATTCCACTCCTGTGATCCCACCAGGTCCCAAAGGGCAGGGAGAAGAGATACTAGTGGCTGCCATTCTGGTTCATCTGGGTGAGGCCGGGTCTTAGCAGCCCTGGCCTAAGGCCAGTGGGGAGCTTTCCAGTCATCTGTTCCCCGGTTCCATCTGAGGTTACCCTGGGGTAATCGTCCCCCAGGCTGGTTCTAGCTGGTTTCTAAAGATGGAGTCTATGAGGAGAGGACTCCAAAGCAGGGCAGGAGACAGGGCAGTGCAGGTAGAGAAAGGTACCTGGGCTTCCCCTTCTGAGAGTTCTCCATCCCCATCCGTGTCCAGCTCCGAGTGGGTCTGCAGCTCAGCTACGGATACCCTGGTGGGGGGAGGGCGAGAGGGACGCAGGCAGAAGTTGATGGAAGGGTGAGGCCCACCAGCTTCTGGTCAACTGCCAGCCCCTGCCAGCCTGGGCCCCTGCCTAGAACTTGCTTCTGATCTCAAGGTAGGAGAGGAAGGGTGGCATGAAGCTGGAAGGTAAGGGCTGGCGTTGCGGTTCCCTGGCCCCCAAGTATAGGAGGAACGGGTACCTGCCACCCAGTCCCCTGCCGCCTATCCACTCCCCTTCCTGACATCTCCACAACCCTGAAGGCTCAAAGGAGATATGGAGAAGACAGTGGGATTAGGAGAGAGCTGGCTCCTCCATGTGTGTCCCCCAAGACCCTTTCTCCTGACTGCCACCTCAGAACCCAACACATCAAAAATGCCCCCTGCCTGGGGCCTCCCTGGTTGAGCAAGGGTCCTAACTTCAGCACTGCTTCAGCTGTCTGCAGCCTCTGAGCACGAGTTCGATCCCTGGCCAGGGAGGTACCCACATGGCGCAGCAGACCTCTCCTGTCTCTCCTGCTGCTCCCCTCAGCAGTGTATTTCAGTCAGTCTGCCTGTTCTGCTCCCCACTCTGTCTCTGGTGAGTCCTCTCACCCCCCACACCTCTGGCCTGTACCCCAGCTCTTGCGCCCTGCTGATACCCAGTAAGGCCCTCTAATACCCACCATGGCCTGGGCACCAAGTCCTATTCTACCACCCATCAACACTGCCAATCAAAAAACAGACCCCAGCTCCTGGCCAGCACACACTTCTCACATAGGCGCCTACCCCATATTGGTCCCAGGTTCCCTGTGCCCTCTTTCCTTTTGCTGTTCACCCTAAACTGAGTCATTTCCCAAAGGTCACCTAGCCTGTTCAGGGGCACAGCCTGAAATCAAAGGGGTCTGGCTTTTGCCAGAGTGTCCCAGCCACCAGACAGGCTTGGGAAAGTAAAGGGGCCCCCAGTCATGTTGCCTGGTTCTTGTCTCATTCCCCCCAGCCCCAGTTCTGGACCTATTTCACACATGAGAAGTAGATGCTCGCTCAGAGAGAAGTGGGATCATCATCTCAGGCCCTGCAGCAAGTTGATGAAGTTCTGGCCAGTTTCTAAAGCTGGGGCCTATGAGGAAAGGACCCCAGAGTTGGGGGGGCGGGGCGCAGGCTCACTCACGCCCCATCCATGTTGTCATCCAGCTCCTGGAAGGCACTGGCCGCCAACTCCTGCTCTCGCTGGGCCTTTGAAGCAGCCTGCTGCTCTGTGGAGGGGTCAGCTGTCACCCTCTACTCACCCACCAACCCTTGCCACCCCAAACCTGCCCTCCCCCAATACCCCAAGGAGTCAATCACTACAGAATGCCTACTGTGTGCCTGGCCCTAGGCTGGATGTTAGGCCCTAAGTTGGGCCACAGTGCGGGAGCCAGGTAAGAGATGCCCAGGGTGGGGCCTGAGAAGACAAGACCTGCCATATTGCGGAGAAATGCTGAAGGGATCTGTAGATGGGTGGGATATGGGGAAAGGAGGGCATGGAGAACTAACCCCTGGTTTGAGCAAGGGGGGCTGGCAGAGGGGTGGTTGAGGTTCACCAGGTCCGGGAGGCCCCCACGAGAAGCCATCCAGACACCCAGCTCAGACTCGCTCTCCAGGAATGGTGACTGGGATAGGGTCACAGTCAGGCAAGGGGGACATCCCAAGGGCTCAGAGGAGCATCTCAGGAGAAGGGGAATAGTCACAGGGAAGAAGGGACCTGGGCTACAGTCAAGTCTGCTCTGATGCTCTGGGCAGAGGGGGAAAGCTGCCATAGTTGGATTCTAATTATTTGGCTCACACTGGTGACAAGACTGACAGTGGTGTTTGCTCTACTATGCAGTGGGCCACCCCGGGGGATCTCACAAAGCCCCAGTAGACCCGGCTGACACTGTGTCTCTCACAGATGAGGGCCCGAGGCTCAGTCAGGTGCCGGGGTCTCCCATGGTCACCCAGCTACCAGGGGTAGGGCCAGGGGCCCTGGCCAGTTGACTGCCTCCAAGGCCCATGCTTGTTCCTGACAGCCTTTGGGAATCAGGGTCAAAACATGCTGTGCTGGGCCTCCCTGGTGGCACAAGGGGTTAAGACACAATCTATGAAGCTATCCACAGCCACTGCAGCACGAGTTCAATCCCTGGCCAGGGAGCAACCCACATGGCGCAGGAGACCTCTCCTAACTCGCCCACTGCTCCCCTCAGCAGTGTATTTCAGTCAGTCTGCCTGTTCTGTTCCCCATTCTGTCTCTGGTGAATCCTCTCACCCCGCCCCATACCTCTGGCCTGTACCCCAGTTCTTGTATACATAAATAAATAAATCTTAAAAAAAAAAAAAAAAAAAAAACATGCTATGCTACCCTCTGACTCAGTAACTACACTGAGAACATGGGCTCAAGGAAATCATTTATGATGTGAAAACAATGGAAACAGAACAAGTGATACAACAAGTGAACTCACTTTCTTGAACACGGAGAGCAAAAAAGCAACAGGAACTTGGCACCAAAGACAATGATAAAAAGGAAAAACCAGTGGCAACTTAAGTCACAAAGGGCCAACCCTCTCACATGTAACACATACACACAGGACGAAGACGTGCACCAATATCCTGATCAATAACGGCAGCTGGATTAAATATATCCCATTAGGGTCAATGGAATACACACCGTCAAAAGGAAACAGGGCACTACATTTGCCTCAAACTGGACTGGACAAACCTCACAAATGTTTTGCTAAGCAAAAAAAGTCAGAGACAAAAAGGCACATATTATATGGATCCACTTAGATATAATCCACTTAGATAGAACGGGCAAATCCAGAAAGTAGAGTCCTGCTTGCCAGGAACTAGGGAACAGGAGAATGGGAAATGATGGCTTAATGGACATGTTCTGGAACTACACAGAGGTGATCGGTGCATGGCATTGTGGGTAAACTTAACATCAGTGAAATGTATACTTTAAAACAGTTAAAATATCAATAGAAAACTGTATGTCATTTGCCACAATAAGAGTGAAGAATTAAGAAAAACGGGATCTGACACAGAATGACACAGCATGCCACCACTGATGCCCAGCAGGACTGTCTGCAATGACAGGGCCTACACCCATGCTGTCCAACATGACTGCTGCCAGCTGCACATGGCCACAGGGCATCTGAAATATGGCTTCAAGTTACTGGACTTCACAGAAGGTTTCCACTGGCAAGATTTCCTGAAGGAAGACTCTTTCCTTTCCCACTTTATTATTTGGATTGTTTCCCCACAATTCCGTTTAACAGAGAATATGGATTTCTTTTCAATCAGATGGAAACTAGTATGAAATAGAGCAAGAAACTGCCAGTCTTCTGAGATCTAGTCCCACCCCACATCTCTCACACTCCACAGTGATCAACCTTGGAATTCATACCACCCCTGGGTCTTGGCTGGACGACCCCTTGGACCTGGCCCTGGACAGGCCTGACCTAGTCATCAGCTACTCTGAAACCCAATGGGGGCAGAGAATAGGAGACAAGACTGGGGGAAAGAGGGCGCTACCCCTCAGGCTGGCACAAAGCCAGCTGTTCACAATATCCCTGCTCAAATTTCCTTGGGTTCTGGCAGAGCCCATACCATTTCCTGCCTCTAGGAGTGGGAGCACATGACACAGATCTGGCCAATCAGTGCCTGCACTGTACCCCTGTTCCCAGAGACTGGTTCATGGATAGTCATGTGACCTGGAATGGCCTAATGGAAGCCTGTCGTGGGATTTGCTGGAGCTTGTACAAAGGGGTACAGTCTATTTGCTGGGACTGCTGAGCTAGGAGATAAACATGGTGCTATCCACAGCCCTGCTGGCATGGGTGGTAAGAAAGCAGAGAGGGAGGCAGAGTCCAGAGGTGGAAGGAAGACTCTGCCATTCAGGGTACCCTGGGTCCCAGTGAGCCTAAAATTTCCACTTTTTATTAAGTGGGCTCGGGTTGGGTTTTTGTCATGTATTCAGAAGGGCCCAAACTTCGAGAAAGGAGCAGTAAAGTTTTTGTGGAGATGGTTGGATGGATAGTTGGAGTACAGTGAGATGGATGGACTCACTGATCTGCTGATCCCATTTAATGGTAAGCACAAGGAGGAAGGATGGGGTCTCATGTGTCACCAGTGAGACACCCACTAGACATCTCTGTATTTGCAGTGGGACAAGGTAGAGCAGAGGCTTGAGGGCAGCCTGCTCAGGGGCAGTGGCTATCAGACTGACATGGCAAAGGTGAGGGCCAAAGAGGCAATTAGCTGGCAGGGGGGTTGTAACCAGGTGCTAGAGGTGTCAATCCTTTCAAGCTCAAGGAGGCCACTAAGCAGAATAGCCTGGTGGAGGTTAGTTGGGTAATGCAGGGCTCTGAGCGATGGAGAGAGACAGATGACTCAAGCCTGTGGTTAAGGCACAAAGTCGCAATTGGGAGATGTGTGGGGTCAGTCTGGCTCTGTGATGTGACTCTGGACATGCCAGCGGCCTCTCTGCCCTCAGATCCTTATGTGTGAAATGGGGCTGGTGATGAGAAGTCAGGGAGAGCCAGCCAGAGAGAAGAATGCAACAGATGCCTAAAGAAATGGAGATCAAAAATATGGCTTGAGAGGGAGGGCTGCCTAGTTCCTGGTTATTTGCCCTGCATCACCCAGGCCATGCCTCCAAATTCTCCCAGCAATACTTTGTCCTTTAACTAGTTCAGAGTGCGTTTCTGCCTCATCTGCCCCTTCTACCCTGCTTCTGTGGCCTGTTTTACAGCAACCTGAAAACAAGGACCAAAGGCTTCAGATTTCCCATAATAGCAGTACACCCTGCCACCAGCAAAAAAAAATGTTAGATGAAGTATAAGAAAAATCATAAAACCAATGAAGCAGTAGGATCCGCCAGGGCAAAGAGATACTCACGAAGCTAGGAGAGTGTAGAAGCACCTGAGAAATTTGGATGTCTGCTACGGTAGGAATTTAGGGGAAAATGGAACTCAAAGTCAAAGGATAGGAATTTAGGGGGAAATGGAACCAAAGTCAAAGATGGGGGAGGGCCTCCCCGGTGGCGCAGTGGTTGAGCGCGTGGTTGAGCGCTGGGTTGCGAAGCTGCCTGCAGCCTCTGCAGCGCCAGTTCAATCCCCAATTGCCGGGCGAGGGTCCCACATGGCGCGCAGACCTCTCCTGCCACCCGCTGCTCCCCTCAGCAGTGTACTTCGGTCCTTCTGCCTGTTCTGCTCCCTGCTCTGGCTCTGGTGAATTCTCTCACCCTCCCGCGCTTCTGACTGTACCCAGTGCTTGTATAAATAAATAAATAAATCTTAAAAAAAAAAAAAAAAAGATGGGGGAAAAAACAGAAGACCCTCCTCACTAATTCAAGTATGATCCCAGAAGTTTATCCCCTCAGGGATAGGTTGAACCAGTAACCACCTATCCTGTGCTAGGATCTTAGTCCACACTGCCAGAAAGATTGGAGGAACCTCCAGCTTTGAATTTAGGGGCCCCTGGGTTGGTCATTCTCTAGAGAAAAACCTTATGTTCACAACAATGATGACCAATTATTCCTGTAAATGATATTCAAACATGATGAGTAACACACAAAGATAACCAGACAGGCTGGGAAAGGAGGCATCCCCAGTGGAAAACCAGCAGAAACAATGGACAGACAATGAGCAAGAGTCCCCGGGGCCCAGTCAAGGGTGTCACGGCCACCCCACGCCATACCTTCCCACAGCTTCCGATGCTGGTCTTTGGCTTCCTTCTCCGGCTTCTCAGCCTCCTCCTTCACCAACCGCAGCATCTCCACCTGGTCCTCCAGGGACTTTTTACCAGTCTGTAGCTCAATGAGCTTTTTCTGAGTGGGCAGAAGGCAAGAGGCCAGCTCTCCTATTGTTCTGCTGTCCAGCTCATGGGACTGTCCCTATCCTGCCTCCACTCCACAGGGTGGCTGTGGGCTCCTTCCACACCCCTGGGTCTCCCCTTTGTTGTTCCCCATAGCCCACTGGAGAGAAACCCAAACACCTCAATGTGTCCCCAAGGCCGTGTGACCACGTCTCTGGCCACAACTCCAGTCCCACTTGCCCAGCTGCTATCTCAAACTCTAGTATCCAACTGCCCTGACAACATTTAGACTTCTAAGCACTTCAGCCTCAAGTTCTTTGCACATGCTTTCCTTCTATCTGGAACACTCTACCCGGCTAGCTCTAAATTATCCTACAGGCAGCCTCCTCCTCCAGGAAGTGTTCCCTGCTATCAAGACTGGTGAGGGGAAGAGGGAGACAAGGCAAGAGTCTCCTTTATGCCATGCTGCTCCCAAATTTCCCTTTCTCCAGCAGCCCTGGACATCATTTTGTCTGTCTGTCCCTCCCACTGGACACTGAGCCCTTGAGACAGTTTCAGGCCTGCCTCATGCCCAGAGCAGGGCACTCCCTAGGTGGCTGTGAATATTTCAAGAAGGAATGAGTGTACTAGGTGGCATCCTGCCTAGGGATAGGACCCTAAGCTGTAGGGTCTTAGCACAAACTTCCCCACGGGATCACTTTCTTTCTGAGACCTTGGCTGACACCTCAGGTGGGCCTGCTGTCAGGATCCTCCAACCTCCCCAGGAGGGCAAAGGTTACCTGGAGTCAACCTTACTTCAAGGCTCCCCAACTACCTCCTGAACGCAGGAAGGCTCTCACCACCCCCTTAACTCAGGAGAAACTCACTTGACAGGCTATAGGGGTGGAAAAGACCTAGAATCTTCTCTGGGTCAAGAAGCAGAATTGGGGCAGGAGCCCAGGAGTGGTGTTGAGGACTCTGACCCATCTAAGAGCCAAAGTCAAGAGAGTGGAGGGCAGGGAAAGACACGCCCTCTCCAGGCCCCCAGTACCCACCCAATAGAACTAATTAACTTACTTAATTGAGACCTGTGCCAACTGCCTGCCCCCTTGTCTCCCTCCCAGCCCCACCCCAGGTAATGGCTTAATTGCACAATAAATGCCCAGACAGACAGTAACCAGCCAGCCCCAGACACCACTAGCTAGAGGCAGGTATCAACCTTACTTGAGCTTGCCAGACTATACCTCCATGTCTCAAAGTGCAGAATGTCCAGGGCCAGCACCCCAGCGCCCCTCACCTGCTTCTCCTCCCGGGCCTTCTTCCAATCCTCAATAAGGATCTTCTTCAGGCGGAACCCCTCGCGGGTGACCTCTGCCATCTGCTGCAAAGTCTCTCTCTCCTTCCGGCCTTTCTCTCTGAAGTAGGGAAGTAGGGAAGGGAGGGTGCAGGACTTAGTGCCCATCAAGTCTGTCCTCTTACAAAAGGCATCCACCCATCCTCATACCCCCATGTTGAGAAAAATAAGAGATCGCTCCCCACCCACCAAGGTTCTCTGGCCTCACTGTCCCTGAGAAGAGACAGTGGGCAGGGTTCACCCACCCTTGGGGTTAGGGGAGGGACTAGAGAGCTGGATCAGATCCCGGGAGAGAAAGCACACCCCCACCTAAAAAGGCAATCCTAACAGTGTGTTTGTTGTGCTCCATCTACCATCTACTTAAAAGATCTCTGACCAGGAGAGAATACATAAGTATCAGAACTTTCCACTACTTTCAAGGTGAATCCAGCCCTGCCCCCTCATCAACTAACAGAAATCAAATGCATCTATTCCTTTAGATGCATATATTTCCCACCACTCCCTACTGCCTCATACTCAGCTGCTTCTGTTGTTTTGATTACCTGCCTGTGGGCATTTCAGTTTTCAGGTCCTGCTGCAGAGTGTAACAGTTAAAAGCATGGAGTCTCAAGTAAGACTGACCTGGGTTCGAGTCCCGGCTCTGCTATCTCCTAGCTATGTAACTTCCTGAGGAAGACATTTTCCTTTCTAAACTTGAGTTTTCTCATTTGTTGAACAGGCAAACAATTGTACCTGCTTCCAGGCCAGAGGGAAAACTGGTGATGTTGCATTCACCAGGTACCCAGCACAGAGTGCACACTTACTACAAAGAAGCAGTAAAAAGAGAAGGCCAGATTCACTGGGCAAGGCAAGGGAGGTGGAGGGTATCACCCACGTACTTGCAGGTGTTCTCACAGATGATTCCGCTGTTGTACTCATCTGTGCCGTCACAGCAGTCTGAGGGCAGAGGCAGGGGCACAATCAGCCCTGCCTGGACCTCCTTCCTCCCTCTACCCACCACCTCTTTCCCTAACCCGGGTGCAGTCTCATTCACCACAAACTCCATCGTTGACCCATCTGGAGGGGATGTACAGGGGCTTGTAGCCAGTGTTGGTGCAGTGGAAACTGCCATTAGGACAAGCAGCTGTGCCTGTGGGGAAGAAGGGAGGGGGCTTTGTACAGTGTGCTCAGGGCCCAGCAAATCCATCCACACAGAGACAGAGCCCCACACACATGCACACAAGCTCACAAGAAACATGAGAACTTATGTCAACCAAAGGAAAGGTGACCGCAAACTCAGCGCCTGGAACAAAAATCTCCAGTACTCCCTCCTGCTTCTCTCACTGTGTACCTCAGAACACCAGCAAATCCTCACTCCTGCATCTTCAGTTCCATGTGTCTGCTCTTCAGGTCCCCCTCATCCCTCCCACCTCTGGGTATTTTTGCATCTGGTTCCTCTGTACACAGCACCCTTCAGGAGTCAGGTGAGACCTCCTGACCCCCAAGTTGGGTAGGGCTTCTCATCCACACTTTTCTGTTCTCACTTCCCCCACCCCGATCAATAGTTAGCCATGTGAGACTTCATCCCATTGGTCACCACACAGGGCCTGACTTTCACTAAGAAGTCAACAGATGTATGATGAATGAATGGAGAAAGCTCACCTGGCTCATCTGAGCCATCCTTGCAGTCACAGTAGTCATCATTGACCTGATCAAAAGGGACTGTGGCTGAGCCATCCAGGCAAGTGAAAGGTTTGGATTCCTCATAGAAGTGATGATCTGTGGGGAGAGCAAGTGGCTAAGCTCAGGGAAAGAGACTTTCTCACCAGCATGGCACCTCTGTCCCCACCCACCAGCAGAGTACTGTCACTTTCCCGAAACTGAAGTCAGGAAACCAAGCAAAAGATTGGAATGCCTAGCCCAAGAACCAATGCGGCCCCTCTGACACCCCACCCCCACCTCCAGCGGCCCTACTCACTGGTGAGGGAGACGCCTCTGGGCCGTTTGACCTCCACCGCCCAGCACAGGGGAAGCAGCAGCACCAATAGTAACATCTCGCCGGCAACGAGCTGTACGGGAGGAAGCAGGCTGCGAGGTGATGCTGTGTTCCGAGGCTGCGGCAAGAAACGGGCGATCAGTCTGTGCCAGAGAACTACTTCAGGCCAAAGGCAGGCATTTCTTCCTCCAGTCAATTAGATTCCTCCCTTGTTTCCGAGCAATGAGAGTTCACCTTGCTCCCGGATTGGCGGTAGGTCTCCCTAATCGTGCCCAGTGGAGGATAGTCTCACTTTGTTCAAATCAATGGTGGGAATCTCAAAATCTTCACTCCCTGGGTAGGGGAGGGAAGCTACCCAATTCCCGCCATAGGCCGAAGGGGCTAACAGTCTTCCCCTCTACCCCTCTATCCAGCTGCCCCAAATAGGAACTGGGGTGCCCTGCTAGTACATCACCTACACGAGGTCGGGGCAAAGGTCAATATCCACCGCGCCCCCTTAGTCCAGCAATCCACCGTTCCTCCTGCAGAAAGAGAGGAAATGTGTGTGACCCGTCACTTCCGGCGCACGCTGCACACTGGGAAGGGCGGCTCAGGGCCGCCATGTTGGATGTGGCAAGCAGACGGAGGCGTAGGGGAGCCCGGAACCCGGACGGCCATCTTGGATAGGACTCTGAAGCTTTACAGGGAATAGTTCTGAAGGTTCACGCTTAATGGCGGCGCAAGGTACTTCCATCTTGGGAGTGGCGAGTTCTGCAGCCGAAAAAGAAAGTTCCCGAAAAATGCCGGCCAACCCACCGCAGGGGTGGGGGTGAGGACATAGAATTTAGCACGTGACTCCAAAGTACCCTCCGACACCATCCAGCGGCGCTGCTCTGCCCCCTCCCCCGTAAGGATCACCTCCCCGCCCCGCCCGCCTGAGCGTCAGCCAATGAGAGCTGTGGTGTGGAACGCCGGCGGCTTCCGAGGGAGCGGGGGAGAGAGGCGGGGGAGGAAATTACCTAGCAACCGGGAGATGCTGCGAGGTCCGGAGGCCAAGCAGTCGGGAAGTGCATTCCCAGAACCGGTACTGACGGATCCCGAACAGAAGCGATTCCCAGTCGCCACTCTAATACCTAGGGGCCCTCGGCTCCGACCCAGTCATGACGTCTCCTCTGTGCTGGGCGGCCTCCGGCAATGCCCAACCTGCTCAGGACCAGGCTTCAGCTTCCTCCAAGGTCAAAGGCAGTCAAGCTCAAGTCAAGCATCGCCCCATCAGAAGCAAAGGCACTGCACAGGCCTGGCCCCCACGCCATTCCAAGGCAGGGCCCTTACAAGGCAGTGGGGGGAAATCCGCAGTGCACATGCAGGTGACTGAGTTACAAAAGAAGATACAACTTTTAGGTAAGATGGCTACAGAGGGCACAGAAGGGTCAGGGGTGAACCGTGTCCATCCAGCCTTCTGACTAGACATGGTGTGACAACAGCATCTCACAGGCATTCATCTAGACAACCAGTTTCTGGGGGCAAAAACTCATACTTGTTTATGGTTTTTCGCATCTCAAAACTTTTCTTGGACTCAGAACTACTTGGATTTTTTTCATATTTGTGTGTAATTTTTTTTTTTCTATCATGAACAGAGGGTGAAAAACATGGACTCTAAAGCCAGATTTTCTGGGTTTAAAGCTGGCTCAGCATGTACTAGTTGACTAGTTGTTTGAACTTGGAGGTCTAAGAGTGAACTAATTGCCCTGTTTCTCAATCTGTAAAATAGAGATAGCAATAGTAGGACGCCACGGGTAGTTGCAATGTGTAAAGTACTTAAAACAGTACCTGGCACATAGCAAAACACTATAAAGTATAAACTAGTTTTTCTAAATGGGGGAAGACTATTTTGCCTCTCCAGCATTTTGTAGTGCCTGGAGACATTTTTTGGTTGTCACATTGTTGTTTATGGGAGAGTAGATACTACCAGCATCTAGTTAGTAGAGGCCAAATTTGTTGCTTAACATCTGACAATGCACAGGACAAATCACCACAGAAAATAATTATACCTCCTAAATATCAGTCGTATTGAGGTTGGGAAATGCTGGTGTAAACCACTATTTTCTTATGATGAGTAGGTAATCTTGCAAGTCAGACTGCTTGTGACCTTGAACAGTCTAATAAGATCAAGCCTCAGTCTTCTCATTGTAAAATGAGTATTCTTTGGGTATGAATGTGCACCTATTGGCATATATTATTTGATACCTGGGAAGTTTTAGGTAAGTTTGCAATACATAATAAGCACACAAAGTGAAGCACTGTTCTAATAGTAAGTTGATGATTACAGAAAGGTTTTCCCTTTGAGAAGTAGCCCCTCTGTGATCATGTGCTTGTGCCTGCCTACCTCACATGATCCCAGAGGGTGACCGGAAGGCTTTTTATGAGAATGCCCAATGGAACATCAAGAAGAATCAGGAGACCATCAGCCAACTCCGAGAGGAGATCAGGATGCTGCAAATACAGCTGACAGACCTGCTCCAGGTGAGTGTACATAAGTGTGTGAAAAGTTTCCAGAGGGCCAACGACAGCACCCCCAGAGTCACTCCACTACCTTAGGTGGAGGTGGCTTGGATTAGCAGTGACTGAATTCCTCTCCTTGTAGGGAGATGGGAAAGTGATCCAGGCAGTGATTAAGGAATGGAAGTCAGAGACACCATACCTGAAGAACAGAACCAGCCAGGTTTGTGCCACCCCCATTCCACTGACCCTCTCCCTTCATTTCCAATCTGGATCCCCTTCCCAGTAGACTCCCTGCCTTCCATCTCACCCTCTACAGTACTTTCTCCACACTAGATGCCACTTGTTTTTTCACTTGATTAATCTTTTTTTTAAGATTTATTTGTTTATGCATACAAGAACCAGAGTGCAGGGGTGAGAGGATTCACCAGAGACATGGGGAACAGAACAGGCAGACTGACTGAAATACGCTGCTGAGGGGAGCAGCAGGCGAGTCAGGAGAGGTCTGCTTTGCCATGTGGGTATCTCCCTGGCTGGCTGGGGATCGAACTCATGCTGTAGAGGCTGCAGATAGCTTTATAGCGCTGTGCTTAACCCCTTGTGCAACCAGAGAGGCCCTCGTTTGATTAATCTCTATCATGCAACAACCATGTGCCTGGCATGGTACTAAGTGTTGGTAACTGCAGTGAAAAAATAGCAAACCAAAAAGCTCATATCCTCTTGGGGAAACATAACGAAATCCCTAAACAACAAATATGGAAATAAAGTCGTTCCCATTAATGACAGAGTGACTTACTAGAGCTAGATTGGGGGCAGTTAAGATAGGAGGCAGGGTTAGCAAAGATCCCTCCGAAGAAGGTAATGTTTGAGTAGAGAATGGGATAGGCAGGAAATGATCTGAGGAATTGTACTCCAGGCAAAAGGAACAATAAGTGCAAAGTCCTGGAGTAGAAACTAGCAATAGAGTATTGGAGACATGGGGGAGATTGTTGGCCAGATGAGAGTAAGTGAGGGGTCTCTGTAGGAAATCAGGCAGGTCACGCAGGTCATGCTGGGGCTTTCTGACCTCAGGGAGTTCACACTAGTGAAGATGAAGAGGGAAGATTTCTTTTTCTTACATTGTTGTTTATTTTTGTACAATAGTTGATGTCTCCACTCATGTGTAGTTCCTGTAAAGCTCCCATCACATCACCCATGAACCATTACCATAGGCCCTTGTGCTCTTCCCTCCCCATTTTGACCCATCTCCCTCCCCCTCCCCTACTCTATTCCTCGGATCTATAGTTTATCTGCAAATTTTGTCTCTCTTTATTTTGACTGCTTGTTCAGATTCCCTATATTCCCCCTGTAAGTGAAACCATCCAATATTTTATCTTTCTTTTTCGGACTTATTTTTTTTTAATATTTATTTATGCATGGGGGATTGTGTGAAAAGATTCACCAGAGACAGAGTGGGGAGCAGAACAGGCAGATCTATTGAAATATACTACTGAGGGGAGCAGTGGACAAGACAGGAGAGGTCTGCTGCGCCATGTGGGTCACCTCCCTCGCTGGGATTGAACTCGTGCTATAGTAGCTGCGGATTGCTTTGTAGTGCTGACGGTTAACTCCTTGCACCACTAGGGAGGCCCCTCCTTCTGACTTATTTTACTGAGCATAATCCCTTCTGATTCCATCCGTGTTGCTGCAAATGCCATGAGTTTATCTTTTTTGATTGCTGAGTAATAGTCCATTGTGTATATATACCACATCTTGATCCAGTCATCTGTTTTTGGGTATTTGGGTTGTTTCCATATCTTAGCTATTGTAAATAATGCTGCAATAAGCATAGGCATACAAGTTTTCTTTCAAATTAATGTTTTTGTTTCCTTTGGGTAATTCCTAGGAGTGGAACTGCTGGGTCATATGGTAGCTCCATTTTTAGTAGTTTGAGGAACCTCCACACAACTTTCCATAGTGGTTGGACCAGTTTGCGTTCCCACCAGCAGTGTAAAAGGGTTCCAAAGGGCTGATTTTATACTAATAATCAAAGAAGTAGTAAATGGGCTCTAAGGAAACACAAGTGGATCTCAGGAGATCAGTCAGGTGGAAGATGATGTTGGCTGGACTAGGACAAAAATGGTGAAATTAGAAAGAGAGATCTCTGTGGGAGCTTTTGAAATTGAACAAAGTATTGCTGACAAATTGGGACACAGGTGGGAGAGAAAAAGAAAAAGTGAGAGGACATGAAGATTTTCGACTTGAGCATCCAGAGGATGGAGCTAGCATGAGCTGAGATGGGGAAGATGTGAGAAAGGCAAGTTTGCTGGATTTTGGACATGATGACTTTGAAATGCCTGTGGAGATACCTGGAAGGATATGTATATGCAGTGTATCAAACTTGGGCATTTCTATTGTATAGGCAGCCTTAACAGCATGGAGACGTAGGATCTCCGGGGGTGTGGCCAGGGAGAGAAAAAGCTGAAATAAAGGGGTTGGAAAGAAGAGGAAGTCAGGGAGGTAGCTGGAAAACCAAGTAGTGAGGGTTCTGGGAGCCACCAAAGAAGAGAATCTGCAGGAGAAGGGCCTACCAGGTCAGATGCTGCTAAGAGAAGAGATGAGAGCCAAGATCTGGAAGAAAGAAGGGACAAAGGACTAAATGGGGGTTCAGTCCCTCTGCCCTACTACCCCTTCTCCAGCAGGCCCTGGAGCACCTGGACCACCGGCTGAGTGAGAAGGTGAAGCAACTGAATGCTCTGCGGCACCAAGTGAGCTTGCGGCAGAAGCGCCTGGAGGAACTCCAACTGCAGTACAACCTTCGGGAGCTGGAAATGGCCGAGGCACAAAATGGCAACTCAGAGGTGGCGAAGGTGGGGCCAGTAAGATGGGGGAAGGGTTGATCCTGGGAGAGAAATTGAGAGTGGAGAGAACTCAGCTCAGTTTTACTTCCATCTAGACCATGCGGAACCTGGAAAACCGCCTGGAGAAGGCCCGGATGAAGGCAGAGGAGGCGGAACACATTACCAGTGTGTACCTGCAGCTCAAGGCCTACCTACAGGTAGGCAGGCCTACCCTGGGGGCAGAGAGGCAAGTGAGAGGGGACCTTCCTGGGCAGGAACAGTGGTGACAAGTCTGCCAATCACCTACGCCCAGGAGGAGAGCCTTAACTTAGAGAACAGATTGGACTCCATGGAAGCTGAAGTGGTGAAGACAAAACATGAGCTAGAGGAACTGCATGTGGTGAACCGGGAGGCACTCAACGCCCGGGACATTGCCAAGGTGCGATCCCACCAGAACCTGGGGGTCCTGCCCAGCTACCAGGGTCTCAGTATCTCAGAATCTGAACTGCCACTATACTTGAGCCCCTCCCATCTGTGTTCCAGGCCCCTGTGGCCTGGCCTAGCTGTTCAGAACTGGGCCCACTGTCCCTGCAAAACCGATGGTAGGTTGCCAGCTGGATCCCCTGTCCCCCTGCCTTCCTTTTAGAATCAGCTGCAGTATTTGGAGGAGACTGTGTTCCGAGAGCGAAAGAAGCGTGAGCGCTACATAAGCGAGTGCAAGAAGCGTGAGGAGGAGAGGAAGCTGCAGAATGAACGCATGGAACGTAAGGTGGGAGCATCCAGGGATGTGGGTTCAGATCCCAGTCAGTCCCGGTTATGCCCCTACATTGCCCCTCACCCTTCCTCTCACTCCAGACTTTTCTCCTGACTCCACCCCCACCTCCATTTGCTACTAGGACTCCTCCCACGTCTTTGACCCTACCTTTCTGGCCACCTGACAGTCCCTTTTTGGTTCTGACCTAGCTTTCAGCCCTCCCCTTGCTTACTGGATGGTACCCATCCCAGCCCACATCTCGGCACCAGCCCTAAATCTGATACAGACTTTAGCCAGCCCTTCAGCTACAGGCCCCAAGTCTCTGCACTGTCTCTGATGTTGCCCAGAGACCATCAAGTGCTATGCTCTGTTCCCTACTCCTGAGCCCTGCCTGTGATCCCTTACCTGACCTCAAGCCTTTGCCCTGACCCCCCAGCCCTGGCCTGCCTCCTCCCTGACTCCTCTGTGGATATCCCTCCCCCCTAATCTGCCCTAAACTCACCCCCTCTCCTTTATCCCCCCTAACTACCCACCTCAACCTACAAGCAGACCCAGCGGGAGCACTTGCTGCTGCAGTCAGACGATACCATCCAGGACAACCTGCGTGCCAAGGAAGAGGAACTGAGGAAACGCTGGGGCAGGTACCAGATGGAGATGCTCTTTGGCAAGGTGAAGGATGCCACCGGTGTGGCAGAAACTCACGTGAGTGCTGCCCATGGCCCTCCCTCCCCTGAAGCTTTACCTTTCTGCCTGCCGTTCCTCAGCACACAAATCTGTTCTCTTAAAAGACACCAGCTACCACCTCCAGCTACCGCCCCCTTTCTCTGATGCCCCTTACAGCAAAACCCACATGAGCTGTCTTGGCTGCCCTTATGTTCTTTTCACTTTTGTGTGGTTGCTAACTTATTTGGCGTGGCAGCTCTGTGGGAACTGGGAATTCTGTGTCTCATCTTATGTCTCCAGCACCTGTGAGTGGCCCAGTGTCACTTTTAGACTGGGGCAAATGGAACCTCTACCCTGGATCCCACACTTTGCAGCATTTTCTTGAAATTTTTTAAGACCCTTACATTCTCCTCTAGCCAACAGTGATCCCACTGAACCCAATTAAGTTTCTCCCCCTTGGGACTCTCCATCCTGCTACTGTTCTCATAGGGTGACTCCAGGAGTTCCACCACTCTCACCTATGGGTTCATCCGGGGCATTGTGCCAGGCACCTTTTCGGAAATCAGCCTAGTGGGCAGATTGCTCCAGCTGCCCACTTTATTTCCTTAAAAGATTGGGCAAGATTGACCACCAGAATGTTGCTGGCATGTTGATTTTGCTCACACACTGATTTGGGCTGAGTCAAATTCTTTATATAGAGAAAGGACCCTGCAAAAATTATTTGTATGAAACTTCACACTCTCGAAGCATCCCTGAGTCCAGCTGAGTGAGTCTGGGGGATTCAGTTGTACAGAAGCCACCTGCTTCGCTCACTTGTCCTGTGGGGATGGGGGAGGGAGGAGGAAGCATCCAGTGGGAAGGAAAGGTACATCTGTGCCTCCCCATGCCCTTGTTCTGACTGGGGCTGGGTGGCCCACAGGCGGTGGTGCGCAGGTTCCTGGCCCAGGGCGACACTTTCTCTCAGTTGGAGATGCTCAAGAGCGAAAATGAACAGACACTACTGACGCTGAAACAAGAAAAGAAACAACTGCAGCGGGAGCTGGAAGACCTCAAGTACTCGGGAGAGACCATGCTAGTGAGGTGAGTTTCTGGTGACTGAGGGAGAAAGTGGGGGCTTCTGGCTCTGTATCACTCTAATGACTGCTTCTGCTTCCCTGCTCCCTTCAGCGAGCAGAAGCTGAACACCCAGCTGCAGGAGCGAGTCAAAGTGGAGGAGCAGCGACGTGCTGAGGCACAGGATCAGCTGGAGCGCTCCATGCGGGCGTTGCAGGTGGCCAAGGAGGGCCTGGAGCACCTAGCAGGCAAGCTGAACAACATCACAGTGGTAGGTCCAACTCCCACCCCCACCCTCAGCCCCTCAAGCCCACATGGAGAAAACCCCAACTGGAACCTCCCAGAGCCTAAAAAGTCAAAGCCACACACTCAAGGGAACCTACCTGAAAACCAGTCCGGGATATCAGAGATCCACCTGGAGAGATCCACAGGAGGAACCTCGCCCCATTCCTTAGAATTCCCACCCCAGTCCCTGGAAAAACCTACTTATTTAAGAGGCCCAGAACTTCAGAGACCCTTGTCCCCCCAGTACCATCCCACCTTGCTCCCCTCCCCCAAGAAATCGCAGAGACCCCCCCTCCAATCCTGGAAGCTCCACCCTGCCCACAGCAGATTCCCATCTCTTCAGAAGGTGATCCCCCAAGTGGCCTTTCTCAAGTTATTGCTGACCTCATCACTAAGAGATCTCCTCCCCCAACCTGCATACCCCATCCTTGTGTTTCTGGAGTTCAGAGGCTCTGCCCTCACAGGCTTGGCCCTTGACTGCAGAGGACCTACACCACTGCACCACCGCTGTTGGTGACCCCTCACCTCAAAGGCCACACCTCTGAAATGAAGAGCCCCACCCCTGGGGTAGAACCTGGCCACCCTGCACTCGCAACCCTTGCCCCTCCTGTCTGACCCAGCTCTGCTTTGGGGCACAGGAGGGCGGCCGCCTCTCGGAAAAGGATCTGGATCCCAACTCAGGTGACTATCTGCCCAATCTGCTGGGATTCGTGGAGGAAAAGCTGCTGAAGCTGCAGGCACAACTCTATGGCCATGACGTGAAAGAGATGCTGCACCACCTCTCCGACCGTGAGGTGCCCTTACAGTCCAAATGTGGGGCTGAGGGTTTAGGGGCTGGGGTGAAAAACCAGGGAGGAGGGGAGACAACCCTCTGAGGACCAGGGCGGAGGCTGTTGGGCTAGGAATGGGCTTTAGGGACAATGGGTGAGGTTTGAAGAGCCAAGAGTGAGTCAGGAGAGCCGCAGGAAGGTCTGAGGGAGGGCAGAATTAAGGGGATCCAGAGTTCTGGCCACCACAGGCAAAAGGGTGGGGCCTAGAGATCAGGGGCAGGTCTGGGGGCAAACAGGGGGACACTGCCTGGGGGACAGTGCCTGCTGAGAACACACTACACTGCTGGATCGGAGAAAAATAGGAGTGGACAGTGGTCCTGTATAGAATCAGTGTATTTCTATATGGGATGGGGAGGATGTAGAACCAGACTTCCTTGCAGCCACTTCCCCACACACACACTAACCCCTCCCTCCCCCAAACAGTTCTACACCAGCCTAGAGGGAAGGCTGCCCTTGTACAACACCCGCATCGCCTTGCCCCTTGCCACTACTACCAAGGACAAGTTCTTCGGTAAGGACAGGAAAAGGGGGCGGGATTGGGGCCCTAAGTGCAGCTGCCAGAGGTGGCAGAGCCAAGGTGGGGGTGGGGTGATGAAGGCTGGCACGGGAAACCTGAGCCAGGGAGGGGACCTAGTTCACTTTCTTCACTTCTGCAGACGAGGAGGAGAGTGAGGACGAAGACAACGATGTGGTGACCCGGGCTGCTCTCAAGATCCGTTCTCAGAAGTTGATAGAATCCCGCAGCAGGAAGCGCAGTCGCTCCCGGAGATCCTAGACTAGCCCTGGCAACCACCTGGCGCTTGCAGGACCCTGTCGAGCACTCCACCCCTCTGGGCCCAATTTTGGGCCCATGGGCCCCCTTGAAGGGCTGAACGGGGGCCCAGAGAAGAGAGAGCCGCGGGCTATGCCTGGAGTAGAGAAGGGGCCAGGCGGCAGACCTTCCCACAGTAAATCTGCTGTCTGCGCTGGCCTCAGAACCGGGCAATAAAGGTCAACAATCAGCCCCTTGGGTATTTGTCTCTCCTTGACCCTGTACCGCCCAAAGGACAGCTCCCCTTAAAACCCGGGAACGCAGACAGCCCCAGTCTCCGAGGGAGTGACTCCCATCAGCTGAGGACACGGACTGTGGTCCCTCTCACTCCTCCAGAGAAATGGGAGAGACCAGCAGCCCCGCCTGAGGACAGGGACTCTGCATGACAACACAGACCGGACCCCACTTAGTTATAGGCTCTAGCTCCTCCACACACAAGAAGAGCCCTCCCTTGGGAAACATGTTCTCCCGGGCACACACTGAGACACCTGTCAGGAGAGCCTGTCTTCCTGGGCAGGGGCTGGGCGCGGGGGTCTGGCTGGGGGCAGCCAAGAGCGGTGGGTTCGGCCCACCTCGTCCCGCCGGGCTCCGCCCCCGAGTGGCCCTTCCGCCCCGCCCCGCCCCGCCGGCCCCAGCACTCGACTGCTGCCCGCTGCCCGCAGGCCCTTCCGCCTCACTCAGCCTAGCCGTGGAGCAGGACGGGCGTGGGCCATGGAGCGGACAGCGGGCAAGGAGCTCGCCCTGGTAAGGGGGCCTGGCGATCCGTGGGTCTAGAAACTGTAGGTCCTGGGCTTTGGAGCCATATGCACGAGCAAATCGGACCCTTCTAACCAGAACGGGATTCCTTACCTCGAGCCTCCCAGTGAAGCGGCTCATATATCTTCGAGACAGGGGCTTGTCTCCGAGCCAGAAGGGCCAGAGATAGACTCCGTGAATCTGGACCCTGAGATGTCCCCAAATGCCACACCATCCCGCGACGTGGGAGGAGGGTACCCACGCGCCGTAGGGATCTTCTTAGGCCGGGACCCTACCCCGAGTTTCGCCGACTCCCACAAGGGAGGGGCTTGGAACTGCAGGACCCAGCCTGCGTCCGCTAGCGAGGGAGCAGCCGCGGTCTGGGGACCCGTCTCCCCTGCGCGCCCTGAGCCCGCCTCCGTGTCCAGGCGCCGCTGCAGGACTGGGGCGAGGAGACCGAGGACGGCGCGGTGTACAGTGTCTCCCTGCGGCGGCAGCGCAGCCAGCGCTTGAGCCCAGGGGAAGGGTCTGGGGGCCGCCAGGTGAGGAACGAGTCGGAAGACCCGGGCGGGAGCGACCAAGTGGAGGCGGGGGCTGAGTGGAGGGGCCTAGAGGTGGAGGAGGAGGACGGAGCTGGGGAGGGGGGAGTTCGAGCCCGAGGGCAGGACTTAGAGACAGCCTGGCCTGGGGGCGGCTGGGGGAGGGGGCTAGATTCAGAGGCGGGGGCGGGGGCGGGAGCAGAACCTGGAGATCGAACTGGACGATTGAGTCTAGGTAAGTCTGGTTTAGAGAGTAGGGTGGGGCGGGGAGCAGGAATCTGGAACGGCCTTAAAGGCGCTACTAGAGAGCCGAGAGCAGCCTCGGGTGGCCAGGTGAGTGGGGGCTGAGGTCAGGGCCTGGGAGTCTGAGCGCCGCTAGGTTGGTTATGGGAAGTCGTTTGTACATGGGTTGAAATAATGAATCCAGGGTGCCGTTCCCAGAGGAATAGATAAGATCGGGTGCAAGGGAGGTGCTAGCGGTAGACTTGATTGGAAAAGGGTTGCTGGGGATGGGGCCCACGCCTCAGTGCCTCATTGCCGCCCCTGCCCACAGGTCCACAACCCCGCGGCCGACGCTTTCCTCTACTACCGCACCAGCAAGGTTCGGGCACTCAGGGCGGCACCGCTGGAGCGGCTGGTGCGGGAGTTGGTGTTTGGAGACAGGGAGCAGGACCCAAGCTTCGTGCCTGCCTTTCTGGCCACCCACCGGGCCTTTGCGCCCACCGCCCGAGTACTGGGCCTTCTCCTACCACCACCGCCCCCTCCCCTACCGCAGGGGTCAGTACCAAGGGGAAACCTCCACGTTGCTAACCCCCATACAGGGCACTTCCTCCATTGCCTCAGGTTTGGAACCAGGAAAAAACCCAACCCCAGAGCCCTTCTCCTAAGCTCCCTTCCAGTCCCCCTTCTTCACCTGACTGGAGGTGGGGGCTGTTTCCAGGGTAGAGATCAAGAAGACAGAGGGAAGAGATCTAAGCTTCAACAAGAACCTGAGGTTGGTCGCCCGTCTAACTGGCCTGTGGGTAGGAGGGTGGTGGGAGGCCTAGAGGTCAAAGGGCATGTTGGAGGCGCAGGGGCTCCAGCATGCAGAAGTCCAGGCTGGTCTCCGAGGGTCCCTCTCTCCGCCAGGGCTGTGGTGTCCGTGCTGGGCTGCTGGCTCCGGGACCACCCTCAGGACTTCTGGGACCCTCCCGCCCACCCGGACCTCGGGAGCGTTCGCACCTTTCTAGGCTGGGCAGCCCCGGCGGGGGTTGAGGCCAGAGAGGCAGAAAAGCTGCTGGGAGATTTCTTGGAGGAAGCTGAGCAAAGGCAGGAAGAAGAGCAGCCCCAGGTCTGGGCAGGTGAGGAGTTCGGGGCTCTGACAGTGCTCCCGTTGGGCCTTTCCTGCACGCTCTATCTCCCGGAGGCCGCCTGCCCTCATGGACCGCCGTGTGCAGTGTTGGCAACCCTGTCTGAACCTCAGTGCAGTGTTCTTGCGCAGTGTTCTTAACCACCTGAGACTCAGTTTCCTCCCCTGTTCAATGAGGGCTAACTTCTTGTCTTACATATTCGTGTTTGTCTAGCACCTCTGCCCTCCCCCCATTCCTAACTACGGGTGCTCCACCCGTGGGTGAGGAGGCATGGGTGAGGAGGCCGTGTGTTTCTAGCTGCTTGCTCTAGGAGCCACAGAGACCTGGGTTCAAGCCCCAGTTTTACCATTTGCTGACAGTGTGACCTTAGATAAGTCACTTCACCTCTCTGAACTTTGTGAAATGGGGCGATAACAGTAATTTCCTTATTGGAAATTCATTCATTCAGCACATATAGAACCACTAGCTCTGGGCATATAGCAATGGATAGGAGCTTTTTATTTTTTTTTTTTTTATTTTTATTTTTTTTTTTATAGAGGCATGGTTTTTATTTATTTATTTATTTATTATATTTGTTTGTTTGTTTTGTTTATACATGCACTGGGTACAGTCAGAAGCGCGGGAGGGTGAGAGAATTCACCAGAGCCAGAGTGGGGAGCAGAGTAGGCAGAAGGACCGAAGAACACTGCTGAGGGGAGCAGCGGGCGGCAGGAGAGGTCTGCGCGCCATGTGGGACCCTCCTCCTGTGGCCCGGGGAGCAGCCGGGGATCGAACCGGTGCCGCAGAGGCCGCAGGCAGCTTCGCAACCCAGCGCTCAACCGCTGCGCCACCGGGGAGGCCCTGGATAGGAGCTTTTTAATTCAGAAAATGAGTCATTTGTCCTGAGGACTGCCTCACATTCTTCTCCATTTACCTATTTGCTTTTCTGGAGTGATTTTCTCAAGTCTTCTATTCCCCATATTTGCTGTAAGATCTAAAGGTTTGATTAGAATTTTTCCCTGATGCCCACTTTTATTTTTTCTTAATTTTTAAAAAAGATTTATTTATTTTTATACAAGAGCTGGGGTACAGGCCAGAGGCACGGGAGGGTGAAAGGATTCACCAGAGACAGAGAGGGGAGCAAACAGGCAGATGGACTGAAAACACTGCTGAGGGGAGCAGTGGGCAAGACAAGAGAGGTCTGCCGCACCATGTGGGAATCTCCCTGGCCAGCCGGGAATCGAACCCACGCTGCAGAGGCTGCAGACAGCTTCACAGCACTGTGCTCAACCCACTGTGCCAAAGGGGAGGCCCTGATGCCCACTTTTAAAAACTAACATTTTGCAATGCCATTGCTCCTAATTTGAAGTGAAAGACAGAGAATGAAACAGTGTTACAAAGATAATTTTTAAATAATATGATGTTGTAACTATAATACTAAGGAGAAATAAAATGAAAGCAACTTACACAAAAATAAACTATGTTTGTTGATGTGTCAGTATTTCTCATGACTCACTAGGAGACATGACCGAGTTGTCCAGTGTCTTTGCCTGTGATAGCATTGTGGTGAATGTAACAACTACAAACACCAACTAGTGGGGGTAAGGGCACTGGTGTAGTAGCCTAGAGTGATATTTTCCAAAATGGTGAACCAACTTGCAATTTCCAAACAAAACAACATCCAGATATTCATGGTCCTTGCATCCCTGGAGCCAAGTTAATAGTGTTTTTGAGCAAGACAGTTGGGTTCTCTGTGCATATTATTATAAACAGGTTTTTCAAGAAACAAATATCTTTCTTTTTTCATTCTGATTTGTTTATTCATACAAGTAATCATTCATTCATTAAACTTTAACAAGTACCTACTTAGCATCTGTTAAAATGGGGATGCAAAAAAGGTAAAAGTTGTGTTATAACACTGTTTTAAATTTATTGTATTTAGAAGGAATATTCAGAATAAGAAAGACCTGCATTGTCTCAGAGCATTAAAGTCTTTCATGTTAGTTTAGAGCCTCAATTCTTTTTTTTTTTAATTTTTTTTATATTCCCCTTACAATTACAACCCCCTTATTTTGACCCCAAGCCCTCCTTTCCCTGCCCCTCACCCCCCATAGAGTGTTTGAGACTGAGGGACACAATTCTCCACTGCCCATGTCTAATCCTCCTGTGGCAAGAGTCCAATTTCCAAAATGTCCCCTTAAGGTGCCACCATTGAAACCCACAATAGTAAATATCGTATTTATGGGAGAGCTTTATGGCAGTCTAGTGTGCATAATCATGTTTGATTTTTTTAAAACTCCAGATGAAGAAATCAAGGCATGCAGAGAATAAAGGCTAGCTTTAATTCACACAGCTTTCTCTTAACCACAAAGTGATATAATTTCTCATTAAAATAAAATGACAGATGGGTCATGTCCTAACAGATTGAAAGTCATAAAGTTCTATTTTCTGCTCCGATCTTTGAGTTTCTGGCTTTGAATCCCTGCCATGCCTCAGTTTCCCCACCTTGAGAAGGTGAATAATAGTACTTTCCTCACCGGGTTAGTGTGCTAAATTATTGAGTTAATCTACCTAGGTGCTCAATGAAAGTTATTGTTGCTTTTTAGTCCTTAAAAATATCCAGGGAGCTCCCCATTTTAAAGATGAGTGGTAAGTGAGGCTCAGAGACACCAAGACACTTGCCCAAGGTCATACAACTAGTCCTAGATTCAAACTTGAGTATTTTTAACCCCATGTAATGCTCTCTCAGGACTTATGGGAGCTGCCCAGATCCCTGGTTCAGACCCTCCAGAAAATTGCCTGGAAGAGGTGCAGGAAGGTCTGGAGCTCCTAGATTTCAGCCTGGATGAAGTGGCTGAGCAACTGACCCTGACGGATGTGGTGAGAACCCAGGCAGGCTGATGGGGGGAGGGAGGTTCCCGGTTTCACTACAGTTCCTACCACCATACTCCTTTCATCCAGGAGCTCTTTTCCAGAGTGCGACCCTGCGAGTGCCTGGGCTCCGTGTGGTCACAGCGGGACCGGCCCGGAGCCATAGGCACCGCCCCTTCTGTGCGTGCCACAGTGACCCAATTCAACATGGTCACAGGCTGTGTACTCGGTTCGGTGCTTGGGGAGCCCGGCCTGGCCACCCCGCAGAGGGCGCAGCGGATAGAGAAGTGGATCCGCATTGCCCAGGTGCATGGTGGGGACCCTAGTGGAGAGAGAATTGAGCAGGGAGAGGGCTGGGATTCCGAAGAAAGTCATGGGGAGGGCAGAAGCAGAGGAAAGTGGTCTGGGAATGAGCCGAAGGCTGGGGCTGAGATGTGCCAAAGGCAAGGTCTAGTAGGTTCCTGGACCGGCCTGGGGCCTGGAACTGCTGAGGGGGTGCTGAAAAGGGGGTGGTGGGGGGAGTCAGGATTGAAGGAAGAGCCAAAAGCCAGAGAAAGGGGCTGGATTCCCGAGGGAGACTAAGTACGGGCTTGCAGGAGCCACAGAACTGAGAGGAGTAGAAAGATGTGGGAGCTGTGGAGAAGAACGGGTCAGTGTAAAGGGGGAGGGGAAGAGGATGAAGGTTGTCACCTGGCTGAGATTTGGGTTCCAGAAGGAGGGATCTGCGTCGAGGAGAGATGTTGTGGGCACGTCTAAGACCTGGAAAAAATAAGGAATGGGGAGGGGCCAGAAGGCAAAGTCAGAGGTGGGGGGGATGGAGGCAGTTGGGGGAGGGGCTGGGACTAGACGGGGAGGCGTGGGTTGGGCTCGTGGAGGAGGCGGCTGAGTGGAGGAGGAGGCTGGTAGTCTGTCATATGTGGGGAACACAGGGGTCGGAAATCACGGGATCTAAGGCGGATCATACCCTGGGGTCTGATCATCACCCCCATCTCTCCCCAGCGCTGCCGGGAACTCCGGAACTTCTCTTCCCTGAGGGCCATCCTGTCCGCCCTGCAGTCTAACCCCTTATACCGGCTCAAGCACTGCTGGGGGGCTGTGAGTCGGTGAGCCTGGCATGGTGTGGGAGCCTGCTGCGCGGGACCTCCGCCCCATCCCATCCCCACTGCTGACTATCCCAGTCATCAGCTCTGATCCCTCTCCTGTCCCCACCCCCCCTACCGCCCCCAGGGAACCGTTATCCATTTTCAGGAAACTCTCGAAGATTTTTTCCGATGAAAACAACCATCTTAGCAGCAGAGAGATTCTCTTCCAGGTATAGATGGGTGCGGGTCCTGTGGATTTCAGTCTAAGGAAGGGGACTTGGAGCCAGGCAGGGCATAGTTTTTCGTTGTCACAACATTTACTGTCCTTTCACTACACTCCAAGAATGATCTCCCCCTTGTTTGTGGGTGGTTTCACCTTTTTTCCTGCCTCTGTTGCTATAGCTGGGTGACCGTTTTATTTATTCCTTCAACAAATACCAGAAGTTACAAGGGAAAGTGTCCTTAAGGCCAGAGTCATAACGAAGGAGGGGGGGCGGAATTTGTGCTAGGGACTTGACTTTGATAAACAAAACTAAAATATGTGTACCAATAGGTCTGACTAATTGCAGGCAAGATTTAGGGGTGGACAATATAGATGATTAAGTGCCAGTTCTTATGGTAAGTTCAGAATAGATGGAGCCTTAAGCCTGCTCCTTCCATCTGGAACACTGTTCTCATTGACATCCTGCAGGTCTGTGCCCAAATGTTACTCCCTGAGCGCCTCAGCATTTCTACCTCCCCCTCTTATCTCTGCCTGTCCTTACATTACATCTTGAACTTGGTTTTGTCATCATCCTTGCTAATGTCTGCTCCAGGAGACCAGGATTTTGGTATTTTGTTCTCTGCTGCCTCCCCTGCATTCAAAACAGTGCCTGACCCCAAAGTAGGTGCTCAATAAATATCTGTGAGTGAACCAATGTCTCAAGTAAGGATAAAAGTTCAAGGCACATGGAAATCTGCATAAGCACCTATATGTGCTAAGCAACATTTTCCTGCCCTGGAGAAACTCAGGCCCCAACTGGGAGATACACAGTGTAATCATAACTGCCTCGGCAAATATGTAATTAATTACCAGGCAGAGCAATTCTGCGAAGACACTATTCATGATACCAGGCTGGGAACAGGTGTTCTCACCTGTGTAAAACTGGCCTTGGAGACCATGGGCCCCACAAACCCCACTTCCCATCATCTCCAGTAGGGCCTCCTCCCTGTCCCACTATTCAATTTCCCTTGCCTTTGGCTTTTACACCTGGCTTGTGATTGTTGAATGCCATTTGGGTAGATATGGTGGTTTGGGGGCATTCTCCTTGAGGGGGGTCAAGGAGACCCCAGGACTGCTCAGTTCTTCTCTGCTCCCTAGGAGGAGGCCACTGAGGGACCCCAAGAAGAGGACAGGCACCCAGGAAGCTTGCCTTCTGTGAGTAATATGTTTTGGGATGGGGAACAAAATGGAGTCCTCAGAGAGGAGGGTGGATCATGACAGGGTTGGTGATGGCTAAGAGTGACTATAACTCTGGGGGGCTGCAGAAACTGCCACCAGGCCCCGTGCCCTACCTTGGCACCTTTCTCACGGACCTGATTATGTTGGACACAGCACTGCCGGATATGTTGGAGGTCTGACCCCTGACCCTTGACCCCTGGTCCTAATACCACTGGCCCTCAGCGCGGAGGGCCTTCCTGATCCTTGGCCCTGCCTACATTCTTGACCCAACCCCTTACTCAGTGGGGTTCCTACATCCCAGCCTCTGACCTTGACCCTTGATCCTTGACCCTGGAGGCTCCAGTTCTAACAAAGCTTGCCCCTAGGGGGATCTCATCAACTTTGAGAAGAGGAGGAAGGTGAGAGGGCACTGGGGTGGGCTTGGAGGAGTTGGGGGGTAGCACAGAAGCTGGAATGAGACTCAGAGCCTGTCCAATTAGGAGTGGGAGATCCTGGCCCACATCCAGCAGCTACAGAAGCGCTGTCAGAGCTACTGCCTGAGCCCCTGCCCACCCATCCTGGCTGCACTGCGTGCCCAGCGTCAACTAAGTGAGGAGCAAAGGTGACCACGCAGTGGCCTGGTCCACACCAGCCCTACACCAGCCCCATCCCAGCTAACTCTGGTTACACGGTGGATATACTTACCCCGTGCATGCTCCAGCTCCTCCTAAAACCCCCTCTTGAGCACTCACCCTCAACCTGTGACTTTGCCTTATCTCCAGTCCAATCAAGGACTCTAATCACAAACTTTCACTCCGCCTGACTTCGTGACTTCAACCCTTACTTTGTAGCTTGCCATTCAACTCACCATCCATGTTTTCTTCCTCACCTTCTTACCCTATCTGACTCCCTTAGAAATCCTTTATCTGACTCTCTGAGCCCAGCCATTGACCCCCACTTCGAGCAACTGACTCCAACTTTGACATATATTTGACTATTCAACTATTCCAATGGTTTCCTTTCATCCAATTGAATCCATTACCATTACCATTGACTCCTATGATTTCCTGACCCTAAATTCTGTCCTTGACCTAATTTGACCCCTCAGCTCATCCTGTGAATCTCTATGTGACCCACCAGCCATCTCACCCACAAAAAGACCCTGCTGCTGAAATGATCCACTTATACCCAGACCCCGACCCTCAGTGCCTAATCCCTGGCTTCTCCCCAAAATCCAGCTCCCAAGTGATTCTCTCATGTCTTCACCCCTACTGCTTCCTGCCCCAAACCCACTTCTGTGTCTTGACCCCTCAGCTACCGAGTCTCTCGTGTCATTGAGCCTCCAGCTGCCTCTTGCCCCAGCTCCCCACATGTCCAGCGACGTATCAGCCTTACCAAGCGCCTCAGTGCGTGAGTCTCAGGGGTCTGTGCGTGGGGCAGGTTGTGATATGGTTAGAAATAGGGGCTGTTCCTGGAAGTGAGTCAGACCTCAGTCTCATCACCTGTTCCTATCTTCAGAAAACTGTCCCGAGAACGAGGCTCATCCCCTTGTGGGAGTGCCGGGGACCCCTCATCTCCCACCTCCAGGTGAGCATTCCACTTGTTAAAGGGACTGAAGATGGTAGGGGCAGAGATTGGAGCAGCCACCCCACCTCTGGCTCTGTGTCTCTGCCAGTCTGTCCCCAGGCTCTCCCCTATCTAGTCCTAGAATGAGGGACCCTCCTGGCAGTCCCCCGGCCTCTCCAGGACTCCAGCACCCCAACACCAAGGTACCAGAAATGTGCATGTGAGTGTTTGTGTGTGTGTGTGTGTGTGTGTGCATACACACAGGATTTCGGGTCCCGGTGCATACATGGGAAGATGTGCATGTGGTTGACTCAACCCTTTGGGTGTCTTTGAGGGATTTGAGGGATTGTCCATCAATTTTGCTCAGATCTGGACTGATCCTTTTACTCGAGGGCACTCCAGGATATGATCACACATTCTTGTAAGGATGCAAATGTCCCCAGGAATGACATCTCTAAAGGGGAAGTGTGGGCATCCACCATGTCCAAGACAATGTGCAGGGTTGCTCATGGCATGGGCTTGCGTGTGCACAACCACTGTGAGCATTTGTGTGTCCTCGATGCTCTCTATATACACACGATTTCTTATGTGTGAACATGTTTCTTAGTCATGTGTGTGTTTGTGTAAGTAACAGGGAATGAAGGTCTGTATGTGATGGGATTGCATAGCTGTGGGTTGCTGCGTGTACACTAATTGCATGTTCCCAGGCTCCAGGTGTGTAGGAGGACTTGTTGAATAAATCAGGGAGGGACCCCACTCTGACCTCTTCCACTGCTCAGCCCATGCCCTTTGCTGCCTATAGTTACTCCTAAACTCAGACCGGCCAGGTCCCCAACCCCTGACCTCACCCCTAAGTGGCTTTCAACTCCCACTCCCTGCACTGCAGGACTCAGAGGCCCGAGTCATCCGAGTCAGCATCGACAATGACCATGGGAACCTGTATCGGAGCATCTTGGTGAGCACTGAGACAGACCTACTGAGGGCAGGCCTACCCTGGGAGCTTGGGCCAGCATACTTCACCTTACATCCTCTCTTCCCAGCTCACTAGCCAGGACAAGGCCCCCAGTGTGATACAACGAGCCTTACAAAAGCACAATGTAGCCCAGCCCTGGGCCCGAGACTACCAGCTATTTCAACTCCTTCCTGGGGACAAGGGTGAGATGGGATAGCTGGGAGGGCAACAGATTCAGTAGGGTCAAGGATGGCCCTAACAGGGTCATGAGATAGTTCTAGCATGGAGTAGGGATAATGTAAAGCAGAGTAGGGATAAGAGGCAATAAAATATCTGTGCTTTAGTTATATGAGGTCATGAAGTTGTCCTGGCTCAGTGTGAGGGAAGAGGACACTGAAAGCATCTTCCTAGGATTTATAGGGAAGTGAGATTGGCCAGAGTCAAACGGGAGAGGATGTGTAGGAGGCTCTCTATGGATTTCAATTTATGAGATCATGAGGTTGTTTAAGCTGAACTTTGTAGAGCAGGAATCTTAGGAGGGCCTGGGCTTGGATTTAAGGGGAAATGAGGGACACTCAAGTTATCAAACTTGACATGGGAGAGAGCTATATGGTATTGAAACTCAGGGTAGGGGGAACATGAGATTATTCAGCAAGGAAGTAGTAGGAGATTGTACAGTTTTTGAGAAGGAGATGTAAGAGGATATGCTAGAAAATCAGCTAGACACTAGGAAGAAATACTTGAGGTTTTCATGTGTCATGTGTGAGAGCTGAGGTTGTGCAGGCTCAAAGTGGGAAGTCAAAAGTTCTCCAAGTGACCAGTGACCAGAAATTGCTCATGGTGAGAAACACGGGAACTTGGCTGGAAAGTGGGGTGGGCAGGAAGTTGTTTGGGATGAGTGACCTGAGTTTGTACAAGTTTATAGTGTATGTTGTTATCTAAACTTGGAGGGGGGGGGAATAAGAGGAGGTTGCCCAGTCTCATGGGAAGGGGAAGCATGAGGTTATGCAAACTTTGAATGGGAAGTCATGCAGATTCCCCAATGAGAGGAGAATGAAGTTGGCTCAACAATAACTGAAGGGACCCAGGGTGAACGGCAGAAAGTTACCTAGGTCCTTTGTGGGAGAAATATGAGATTGTGTTGGACTTTCACTGTTGTCTTTACCCCTGACCAGAGCTCCTGATTCCTGACAATGCCAATGTCTTCTATGCAATGAGTCCAGCTGCTCCTGGAGACTTCATGCTGCGGCAGAAGGAGGGAGCTAGGCACACTACCTCGATCTCCCCAACCTGAGAGAGTCCTCGCCTCCCTCCAGGACACAGTTGGGAAGTTTGAGACCTGGCTTCTGTCAATCTTGGGGCAGGGAGGAGACTTCTCTCCACTAAGCTCTCATTTCCTGATAGAGACCACTGTGATTTGTACCCTGTGGCCCTCCCCCAACTTTATCCCATTGGATCCCATCCTTCTGACCTTGGGACCAGATGCCTATTCCAAAGACACAGTGGCAATGGAGAGTTTCATCCCATAAACAGTGAATGGGGTTGGACACTGGGAGATCAGACCCTTTCCCAGAGAAATCTTGTAACTCTTAAAGATACATCAGAACTGACAGAAGTAGAAAATAGTGACAAAAGTTAAGAAATTGTAATTAATCTTGTCTGTTCTGTGCCTGTACCCCACGTTCATTCCCTATGAAGATAAAGCCATTTTAAAAAAAAAATAAGAACCTCAGAAATGAGTTGGGGAAAAAGGAAAGAAAAGAAACACCAAAAAGAATTTAAATAGGGGCCTCCCTGGTGGCGCAAGGGGTTAAGACACAACTTATGGAGCTATCCGTAGCTACTGCAGCACAAGTTTGATCCCTGGCCAGGGAGCTACCCACATGACGCAGCAGACCTCTCCTGACTTGCCCACTGCTCCCCTCAGCAGTGTACTTCAGTTAATCTGCCTGTTCTGTTCCCTACTCTGTCCCTGGTGAATCCTCTCACCCTCCACACCTCTGGCCTGTACCCCAGTTCTTATATGCATAAATAAATCTTTAAAAAAAAAAGAATTTAAATAAACCCCCCAAACTGAAAAAAGAATAAACAGAAAAGCCAAACAAAACAAAAGGAAAAAAAGGGGTTTTTTTAATTTAATTTAATTTTAAAAAAAGATTTATTTATACAAGCACTGAGTACAGTCAGAAGCGCGGGAGGGTGAGAGAATTCACCAGAGCCAGAGCGGGCAACAGAACAGGCAGACTGACGAAATACACTGCTGAGGGGAGCAGCAGGTGTGGCAGGAGAGGTCTGCGCGCCATGTGGGACCCTCGCCAGCGGCCGGGGATCGAACCGGCGCAGCAGCGGGCAGCTTTGCAGCCCAGCACTCAACCACTGTGCCACCAGGGGAGGCACTGTTTTTTTTAATTTTAAAAGGGGTTAGGGGAGGCATGGCTGGATGCTGGGGGCAGATCGCTGTTATACACAGAAGGTACAGAACTCCATCCCCCAACATTATTGGGGTGATATGCTTTTTTTCTGACATGTATATGGACGAGTGAAGAAGTTTCATCAAATCAGAGACAAATAATATCATTACCCATGGGTCAATAAGGCTTTGAGGATGAAAGGAGAGGGGTGGGCTGTCTCAGAGCATGAGAGTAGGATAAAACAGAGAAGGGAGAAAGGAAGTGGGCTCCAGAGCCAGCCACAACCCAGTCATAGCAACAGCAACAAAGTATGCCCAATGACAATGCAAACCAAAGAGGAAAAATCTCAAAAATGGTTGAAAGACTATTAAAATTATTTTCTCTCAGCCTTCATTCTAATTCTATAAGTAGTACAGCAAAATGCATTTGTAAGCTAAATCTAATTCCAATCTATTTGATCTATTTTTGCATTAGCTCACAGGACAGAATAACCAAATAGAATTTTGATTGGCCTCGTCAAAACTTTCTATAAGAGATCTTAGATTGAGTTGTCAACATTCGAACTCTCTAGACCTTGGGAGCCATGCCATGGAATGATCTCACAAGGCTTTACCTGCAACATTTGGACCTTTGGGTAAATTTCCTGCTCTTGAGTTTCCCAGGGTTTTTCTCTCTGGGGTCTTCAGGCATCTTGAGAGATAAGCTTACTTACTCTTCTGCAACCCTTCAGGCAAGGTTACAGGCTTTTTTCTTTGCTCAATTTCAACTTTCAGAAGGTCTCAACTGTGACATTCCAATCCAAACTAATATTTCCAATCCTCTTTTTAAGGATCTTTTTGCCCTTGAATTTAAAACAAAAACTTAAGTTCAATTAGTCCTATACGGAAAACTCTCAATCATGAGTTTCATCTTAAAATATTGTTGAAGTCTGCCTCCTGTTTTAATTTCTCCAGAAACAACTTCTGAAAATGTTAAAACTCTGAAATAATCAAAATTAAGTTCTGATAATAACATAGTTGATAAGGAAATTTGGTCAACATGATAACTTACAACATTCCAGAACAACAACCAGAATTGACAAACAATGTTATTTCAGAACATATCAGAGACTTAAGGAGTTTCACATATTTTTTAGAACAATATTCATATTCATGTATATGCTAAAGTGGAACATTTGTCTCAATCGACAGTTCTTCCCATTAAGTTCCCAATAAATACCAAATAGATTGAATTCATTTAATGTCTTTCCCACAAGAAAGGGTGGAAATATTACAGAGTGTCTCTACTGAGTTGCCATAAGATTTCCTCTGGTCAATCAAGGAAAAAACTACCAACTTTTTTCTTTTTAATTTACTTTATTTATGCATACAAGAGCAGAGGTGGAGGGGGTGAGAGGATTCACCAGAGACAGAGAGGGGGTCAGAACAGGCAGATCTACTGAAATACACTGCTGAGGGGAGCAGCAGGTGAGTCAGGAGAGGTCTGCTGCACCATGTGGGTAGCTCCCTGGCCAGGGATAGAACTCATGCTGCAGTTCATAGTGCTGAGATTTAACCCCTTGCGCCACCAGAAAGGCCCACTCCCAACTTTAAAGCTTAGATTCCTGGAAAGTTTTATCATAAGTATTCGAGAAAACACCATTTAATTACCTAACAGTGACAATTTAAGATATCAGAGTTCCAACTAGAATCTACCAGCACAATGCCAACAGAATTAGAACCTTCCCATCTTCTTAGATCTCCTTCCAAATGTAACAATTTTCCTCCACTAAACCTTACTTTATCATTTCTGTTCTATGATTGGAATTCTTAACCTTCAAAAAACTTTAATTTCCCAACTCCCATTTAATCTAATGTTTAAAGACTTGAGCAATTCACCTCAGGCTACCTCGTCTGTACAGCATGTGCCCAACACAAATGACACAGGGAAGGGGGAAAAGTTACATTCAATAACACAAATTCAAAGATAAACGCTTCAAACCAAGCCATTAAATTTCAAATCAGTTTTCATTAACCAAAGTGAAATCTAAGTTAGTTTTCGTTAACCACACATTATCCCAGATCATACTTCCTGGAAGCATGTGTACAAGTTCCTGATTTATTTCCAGCTCATAATTTCTACAGGTGTCATCTGCACCATTTTATAGATCCTCCAGAGGCCAGGACAGACTCAAAGGAGAAGATATACAAACATATAACATATGGACACAGGGAGCCCCTTCATTTTTTCATTTAACCCATGTGGAATATCATATGAAACTGCATTTTTACTCATATCTACAAAGACACAGAGCTTTCTTTCTGCTTCTTTATGAGGACAAACCTTAGTTTTCTGATGCTAGATCCTTTTCACCAATGTCTGATGGAAAGGCAGTTTTACTTATATTGATGTAGGAAGACTGTTTATTCACCTGAATCACACACATACCTTCAAAAAAAGTTTGCAAAGAGACAAAAGGTAAAAATCAAACATATAAAAAAAATCACAAAAATCAACATTGGAAAACAAAAAATTAAAAGCCAAAATCAAATCAAAACCAAGTTTTCCCCATGGAGACAAAATCAAATTCCAAAGCAGGGAATTTGCTGTTGTCAGCAGAGGTAACATGGCTTCAGATGCCATGCACATGCCTTAGACTCTAGAAGGAGAAAAGGTTCAGTTAGAGCAGTTACCAAGGATGAATAGCTTTATCCATCATCTCAGGGTTTCAAGTGTTCAATGAGAAGTTAATCCTGCCATAACTTGCAACAGAAGCTGAAAGAAAAAAATACTTTTATTTTGTCCTCTCCTTAAATATCTCATGTCTTTTTTTTAAGATTTATTTTATTTATGCATACAAGACCTGAGGTGTAGGCCAGAGGAGCAGGGGGGTGGTGAGAGGATTCACCAGAGACAGAGTGGGGAGCAAAACAGGTGGATCCACTGAAATACACTGCTGAGGGGAGCTGGTGAGCCTGCTGAGCCTGTTGTACCATGTGGGTAGCTCCCTGGCCAGGGATGGAACTCATGCTGCAGCGGCTGCTGATAATGTGATGGTGCTGAGACTTAACCTCTCGCACCACCAGGGAGGCCCTATCTCAGGTCTTGACAGGTTCACAAGACCAATAGGTTTTGGTCTTCAAGTCATCACCTTTTGGGGTTTTCATCACTCTGGAATAATACTCCCTAGTTTTTATGCCTGCAAGTTTCATTTTATTTTATCTTTTTTAATTATGTTTATTGAGGAAAAGTAAGTTTACATTGTTGTATATGCTTTGGGGATTTATAGCACACTGGGATTGTGGATGTATTAATACCAGGTAGACTAGAGCCTCTGGGAGAAGTAGCAATCCAAGTGAGCTCATTCTCACAGTGGAGCTGGGGGTTGAAGTTTTAAATCCCCAATTGCAGGTCCTTCTTTCATCTGGATCAGCGTATTTGGAAATGAGTTAAGTGCATGAGACAGAAGCATGGCCCTGGAGAGCAGAATGAGCAGTTGCCTTAGACACACTTTAAACTGCTCTGTTTCCTTTTGCAATTTCAGATCTATCCCTTGGTGACTGGGGCAATGCATCACTGCTATGGCAGATGACACAGCTACTGCTTTTAGCAACATCAAGTACGTGCATCTAGTAGGTGCTTAATGTCTTCATTGCCGATTATAAGGAGGTCCCTTTCCTTCCATATAGCACCATGTGCATGTAAAACCATGAAGGAACACTTTGAGTCTGTCTAATGAGAACAATCCTCTTGCTGGCCCTAGGTAACTTAAAATGTAAAAGTAAATAGGTTCTTTCAGTGTCTACCAAAAAAATCAATCAAATGATCCCCCACAGTGAGAGTTACCAGAGGCTATAAAGGGGTTATCATAGTAGGCTTTTTCAGATTGTGTGGAGTCCCTGGGTCTCCCTATGCTTCATCTGAGACTCCATCCTGGACTAGCATTTGTCTCCTTTTCTCCTTTGCTCCTTTACTTCTCTTGCTGTACCTGTATTCCTTTCTGTGACCTTTGTCTAAATCTTCAATTTGTGCTTTCATTCCTTTCTTCTCATTTTCTCATGTCTTCTCCCTTTCTTGCTTCCTACTTGAGACACGAGTTTGATCCCCAGCCAGCCAGAGAGCAATGCACATGGCGCAGCAGACCTCTCCTGACTCGCCCACTACTCCCCTCAGCAGTGTGTTTCAGTCAGTCTGCCTGTTCTGTTCTTCCCCACTCTGTCTCTGGTGAATCCTCTCACCCCCTGCATCTCTGGCCTGTACCCCAGCTCTTGGATGCATAAATAAATAAATCTTTAAAAAAATAGTATATGTATTGTGGGTATTTGTCCATAAAGGCAGGCTGATAGGAGAGAAAAATAGAGGCAAACAAATTAGGCCTCCTTTTATGATTCTGCTGGTATGGAGGGACAGAATTTCTCCAATTCAGTAAGTCCCCAATGGAAAAGGGGGAGAGTGACCATTAGTATCCTGTAGGTTGTCTCTGTTCATTTAATCCACCTACCGGGAATTGGTAAAGACGGAACTGGAACTGTCTTACCCTAGGGTAGCTCCTTTGGCCAAATTGGTTGTCCCAGCTGGTATGAGAAGGAGAATCCATTCTAGTCCATTCTTTAGTTTGCAGATAGCAAAGCCTTCAGAGCCTCTGCAGCCTCCCTGGGAGGGGCACTGGCCTCTTGAAAGGGATTCTCCACTGATGAATTCAAAGTTTCCAGTAAGTGATAGTCCTCCACTTCTTGTCCTTTTATTGTATGACTATTAAGGTAAGGGTAAAGTTGATCCCCTCCTATTTTTACCATCAAGTGGGCCTCCAGCTTTTCTAAGTCTAATTTATGTAGGCACATAAAAGTACAAAATTCCTCCAAGTGACAACTGAGCTTGTCCCAGTCACCAGAATTTATCCAATTTGACTCTTGGCCAAAGTAGAAGATCTCCCCTACTTAAGCCAAACATAACATTGTATAAAGCACGTTAACACACACCAAGAAGACTTCAAGAAACACAAGTTCTAAGCTAGAGATTTGAAACAATCCCCAGATATATGCCCACAGAATCTCCCATAAAACAAAAAGCAGCTTCCATACACCAGACCTTATCAGATTTCCCAAACCAAATCTTAGAAAAGAGAAAGAAGATGCAGAGGAAGGAGGAAGAAGAGAAGAGGAAGGTGGAGGGGAAGCAGTACTGTTTAGTTTTTTTTTTTTAAAGATTTATTTATTTATTTGCTTATTAATTTATTAATTTATTTATACAAGCACTGGGTACAGTCAGAAGCGTGGGAGGGTGAGAGAATTCACCAGAGCCAGAGCGGGGAGCAGAGCAGGCAGACCGATGAAATACACTGCTGAGGGGAGCAGCGGGCGGCAGGAGAGGTCTGCGCGCCATGTGGGACCCTCCTCTGGTGGCCGGGGAGCAGCCGGGGATCGAACTGGCGCTGCAGAGGCCACGGGCAGCTTCGCAGCCCAGCACTCAACCGCTGCACCACCGGGGAGGCCCTCAGTACTGTTTAAACTACAAATTGAACCTTCTTAATCAACATACACCCCCCCCACACACACACACACAAAATTTATAGGCTGGCACATGAGCGGATGCCACCTGTCCTACATCGGTTAGCATCTGCTGAGCAGAGACCAAGGTGCAAACCAAAGCCACACATGGCAAGCTGGTGGCTTCTCCACAGACACCCCTCCTGACCAGCAGTTTAACTGCTGAAGCCTCAGCACTTTAACTGCCATAAGTGCCGACTGTTTTAACTGCCCCAAACCATGGTGGTTTAACTGCCAAAAGTCCCAGCTCTGCCTCTTTTTCCCATCATCCCTCAGTAGGGGGGCAGGTAGAGTCTGGAAAGCTACCTCATATATCATTGAAGATGGTAGAGCCGCCATAGCTCATTGGTTATGAGCACCACCCATTGGCTCAGAGGTTGCTCTGCACTGTTGCTCTTACACCCCCTTTCTTCCTTTTTTTTTTTAAGATTTATCTATTTATGCATACAAGAACTGGGGTACAGGCCAGAGGTGTAGGGGGTGAGAGGATTCGCCAGAGACAGAGTAGGGAACAGAACAGGGAGATGTACTGAAATACACTGCTGAGGGGAGCAGCAGGTGAGTCAGAAGAGGTCTGCTGCGTCATG